AGAATTTATCTGTATACTGTCCTTTATATTCGTTAACTATTCAGTTCTTTGGGGCTTTTTGACATACAAATTTGGATCTCTGAATTGATTCTGTGCTCTGATGTCATTGCTACATATGACACATGACCTTCTGCAATTTATAAAGCTTTCCGAAGTGCTAGTTTCTCATGAGTAAAATGAAAATTCTCATCTCAGTGATCTTTATCAATTTATGATAATCTCCATCTCAAAAACTTCATGGAGGCCTAGCCATCTTTTTTATTTTAGTTTATAAGTGCATGTGTAGTACATAATGTTTACATTCCTTGTGGGAGGTTGGTATGTGTACATAAATGTCCCAGTTCCTTTTTGTTTCTATCCCTTCTCCTTTCCCTCTCTCTCCTCCACCCCCAACCATCTGTCAAAATTGATTGTTGATATCATTTTCATGATAAAGATCACCTAAAGAAGTTCATGACCACGGAACCACACTCCTAAAATTCCCAAAGATGACCAGCCTCCTTTCAAGGAGGACCCTATGCATGTGCTTTTTGACATTGCTTATAATCTAACAAAAATAAGTCATGAGTATATAGTAATTCCATAAATATACACTGATTTGGGATTTTAAAAGACTTCTAAGGTCATTTACCTACTTGTAAAAATAATTTAATTATATCATAATGCCAGATAAACTAATTTCCAATTTTAAATTTTGAATCAATGATTTTAAATTTTCTTGAATATTTTTCTTCTAAACTTTCTTCCACTTTCTTTGCTTTCATACATAATTTTTCTTCATATTTTAGTAGTTTTGCTTACTTAAAACATCAGTTTTTAGCTTCTCAAAAAACTTTTGTTTCGGTGATTAATAGATACATTTCTATGAAGCATTAAAAAACGAAACCTCCTTTAATTGTGAGTTTTTTGTTAGATTTAAATTCTGAGCACCAGCCACTCAGATGCAAGGCCTCTTTCCTCAGAGGTGCTGATCCTGGGGCCGCAAATCTTGTCTGCTCCTCTCTGAGGTGCCCTGGTGAGCGGGCTGATTGTCCCCATGAGTTCCCAGGATAAAAGGGCCTCTCTCTAAATGCAAACTCTTTGTCCCTTTAGGGATCTGTGCTCCCGTGCACACCTTCCCAGACCTGCTGAGGATTTTAGAGTCCGTCCGTGCAGCATATGGGTGGTTGCTCTGTGTACTTCTTTCTTTGTTGATCTCCAAATATACAGCAATACAGAATGAGCCTCTTCTCCCAGTTCTCCCCAAAATGGAACTTTTATTTTATTTTCCTAGTATTTTAAGTTTTTCTTATTTATATAATCTGTGATCATTGGAAAGGAAAAAAATATACTAAAGAAAGGATCATCCAAGAAGCTAGGATCATTCGCAACCTGAGGTATTCTTATAATAGCTACGTGTGAGATGTAATGTCTTTAAAGCATGAATCGCCAACCTGCAGATACAAATGTCAACATCTTTGTTAACTTTGGTGAGAGAAGGAAACTTAGAAGAGTACATGGATATGAGCCCGCTGATCAATTGCAGACAAAAATTATACTGTAAATTAAACATGCCTCTAAGGTTGATCTATGTCCAATACAGAAAAATTCATGGCTTTGATTGTGTAGGTTCATGAAGGATTGAATTGCAATTGCTTTCCATATCTCAGTGTGATGGCTTTGATGAGACGGAGTCATAACAAGTAGATTGGGCTAAAATAATCCCTTATTTAAAAGAGCACTCTGGCAAGGAGTGATACCAGAGACGGACAGGATTTTATTCTCATTTGTGAGCTTTGCTGGAGTAAAAGTTGTCTTAAAGTCAGAGAAAGAAATGAGAAATAAAGAGAGCTACCTCTCTTTGTACCCAACCACACTGTACTAAAAACTCAACTTTGACTCCTGTTTTCAGATGGTTCTCTCCTGCAGCAGAAATCATAATCTTCATTAGGTCTTTTGCTGTGTGTATTTCTGCTCTTAATGGTGTCTCTAGGGCTGATTTCAATGCCTGGACCATAGCAGATTTTTCAAACATTGTAGTAAGAACACTTAAGATGAGGTTAACCTGTTAATCATATCTTAAGTGCACAATGGAGTGGGATTAAGTACAGGCAAATCTCCAGACTCGTCATCTCACACACCTCACACTTGATAGAGTTGGGCCACAAGCACGTAGAGAAATACATGGGTGAGACTCACAGGCCAGGCAGGAAGCTCTGCTTTGACATCAGCAAATGTGCTTCTCTCCTGTGTTCAACCACTGTGTCCGCTTCTTCAGACCTGGTGCTGCGCCGCGACTCTGACCAGCCGAGACAACCACGCACCCATAAACCTGCAAACCTTTCTGTGGACACAGAAGGAAGCATGGCTTAGCACTCTGACTCCCCTCTTAGGTTGGGACCGAATTTCAGCTGAGCTTCGCATTGATCTTCAATAAGAAGCTGCAGCTGCAGGGCCCAGCAGCCTCTGCAGGACAAGGGAAACAGCAGGGATTTTCTGGAGGTGGAAATGCTACCCTTAAATTTGTGTGCCAAGATCTTTCCCTGCACAAATGATGTGGTTTAATGTCACACCAAGGAGAAACAGGTAGAGATGAGAATTTTACTTGTGAAAATTTTGTCTAAATCAAAACTGAAAATATATTTATCTGAAAGGCAATAGAAAACACAACTGTGAAATGCAATAAAAATACTATAGTCAGCTTCCTATTCACAGTGTCTATTAGTTCCCTTCATAATAAGAATAAAAGTTTCCAAATGTTTCTTTTCTTTCTTGTATCATTCAACTTTACTCAATATTTCTGTCTTTGTTTATTACTATAGCTTTGCATGCGCTTGTCCTGCCAGTGCTTGATTTATCAACTTTAAAATTAGTTTACTGCTACATACAACCAGAGTCACAGTTCATCTTATTTTTCATTTCCTTCAAATTCTCTCCTGACTCTAATCATTCCTGTCTCACCCATTATGTTCTCCAGTCACTGCTGCTGCTTTCATTCATCCTTTCTCTGCTTCCTCCTATTTTTACCTCTGGGTGTTTTCTTGACATGAAAGTCGCCCCCTAGGGGTCATTTTTTTCTAAATCGAGGTTAAATACTGTACCTTGATTGAGCTTTGATTCATGAACAGGGTTTGCGTTTATTTTTTCAGCTAGAGAGTTGGCTCCTGGTTTTTTATTTCCTCTCTTCTGTGGCGTAGTTGGAAGGAAACTCCATTTGCACTCATTAATTCTGTAGGAATTGGCTCTTCCGGTAATTCGCGGGTGGCTTCCCCTGGACACCAGCATTTAGTGAGTCCGTGGGCTCCTCACTGGGCTCTGCCTCTGAGCCCTCATCTTGGATCCCTCTCTTCCCACAGCGTTTCTCTGCAGCACCTTTGATGAGTCTCACTTTCATTCTTCTCCCTCACGTGGATTCTACAGCTAGTGGGTGTTCCTTCCTTGCAGGTTTCATTGTAATTTCCACTTGGGCTTTCTCTCACTGTTCCATTGTCCTGAATGAGTAGTATCCATTGCCAGAGGAAAGCTAGAGTGAGATCAGGAGTCTAGCTGAAGGTGTACACCAGCCTCTAAAATGTGCTTGCGTACGTTTGAGAAGTTTTAGTCCCTTTGCTTCTGTGACGAGAACGACAGTGGTGCAACTGTGCAGAGGGCCACAGTGGGGGCTTCCTGCAGAGTCACAGACGCTGTGGTCGGCCGGGACACTGCAGTGGCGGAGCACGGGAAATGAGGGGTGGCAAGGGTGAACACGTGCACACACGCACGGGTGCACACACACGTGTGTGCCTGTATGTGGATGATTTTTAAGGATTTGTTTTAATCACACCCCTTTGGCAGCTGATGATTACTTGGGTCTCACACCCATAGTTTCGCTTGTGGATCGCACCTGTTCCCATTCTGCACTCTCTCCATTAGCAACATTGGTACAGAGTAACACAGGGAACAAAGTCATCTTAAGAACCATTTTATTTATTGGTCTCTCTTCTTGAATGATGCTAGCTTAAATAAAGACTTGTATATGATTTCTTGATCAAAGACTGGGTTTGTAATTTTGTTTCTGCAGTACTTAAGAAAAAAGTCTTAATTCCTGCAACTGCTGACTTCAAAGAAATCTAAAGGTACCTGGAGAACTAAGACAGCAGCCCTGGGTGATGTGCCTGCTCATGTATCCTCTGTCCACGAATCTGTCTGTCGCCAAGAACATTAAAGACTATCATGACTCATTTGTATTTGAAGTCTAAGACAATCAAATGCAAGACAGTTTCACATTTGATCTTCTTGACTCCTGAAGACACACGAAACTGTAACAACTGGCTTTGCATCTTGTGCGAGTTAGAAGGCAAGGCAGGTTTCACCTTGAGCTCCAGATCTTACATCTTCACACTCAAACTGATGTTTCTCTCTGTGGATAATCACACAGCATGTGCTGCTAACTATGGCTGAGTATCTTTGCTTTTTCTTAGTCTTCTGTTTTTCTTACATGTCTCCTTCATTTGTATTTCATGTATCACATAATTTTACAGATATAGGTGTGTAGTAATGTGGGAACAATTTTCATTTTGCATATTCTGCATCATATTGTGATATGGTATTCAACATTATCATTGTGATGGAAGCTTTTGAATATCGGCCAAGACTTACACAGCTATGGAACAAGACATTGACATAAAAAGAAATCCTTGGGTCATTTACTTTGCTGCATAAATAGATCATTTTAACATGCAAATATATCAGCATAAAATGGCAAAGCACAAAAATAGACAAAAAGTATGAATGAATACAAACAAATTTTAAAGTATTTAAATAATGATTCTGTTGCTTGGATCAGGACTTATACCAGGAAATTAGGAGGTGGCATTACCTGCCAATGGTTGTACACTGAGCAAGATGCTGAGTCTATGACATGGCCAGGGGACTTACAGGGAAAATGATCAGACAGGAAAGTCCTGGGTGCCACCAATGCTGACCTCAGCACCTCCTTCCCCAGAACATTGATCATTTTTTTTAACCAAAGCTCCAGGAAAATGGAGAAAACAAACAGCAGCTCTGAGAAGGGCTTTCTTCTCCTGGGATTTTCAGATCAGCCTTGGCTTGAGCGTTTCCTGTTTGTCATCATTGTACACGTCTACATCCTAAACCTTCTGGGGAACGCGGCCATCATACTGGTCTCCCGCCTGGACCCCAAGCTCCACACCCCAATGTACTTCTTCCTCAGCAACCTCTCCTGTGTGGACATCTGCTTCACCACCAGCGTCGCCCCCCAGCTGCTGGTCACCATGAGCAGGAAGGACAAGACCGTGAGCTACGGTGGCTGCGTGACCCAGCTCTACGTGGCCACAGGCTTGGGCTCATCTGAGTGCATCCTCCTGGCCGTCATGGCGTATGACCGCTACGCAGCTGTCTGCCGGCCGCTGCACTACACAGCTGTTATGCACCCACGGCTGTGTGCAGGCCTGGCCAGCACGGCATGGCTCAGCGGCCTGGTGACCTCCCTCGTCCAGTGCTCCCTAACACTGCAGCTGCCCCTGTGCGGCCACCGCAGGCTGGACCACATTTTCTGTGAGGTGCCGGTGCTCATCAAGCTGGCCTGTGTGGACACCACGTTCAATGAGGCAGAGCTCTTCGTGGCCAGCGTGGTCTTTCTGATTATCCCCGTGTCCCTCATCTTAGTGTCCTATGGTTTTATCACCCGGGCCGTGTTGAGGATCAGCTCAGCGGCAGGGCGCAGAAAGGCCTTCAGGACATGCTCCTCCCACTTGGTGGTCGTCGTTGTATTCTACGGGACCATCATTTTCATGTACCTCCAGCCAGCCAGAAGTAGCTCCAAAAACCAGGGGAAGTTTGTCTCCCTGTTTTACACCATAGTCACTCCACTTCTGAACCCCGTTATCTACACCCTGAGGAACAAAGACGTCCTGGGAGCTTTGAGGGCAGTGATGGTGGGAAATGCTTCGGGGCCAGACAGATCCTGAGCTGTGGTCATCACCGTATGCGGCCACTGTCGGCCATGAATTATGTGTTCTGAGTTTGCTTCTCCCATACTGTGTCACAAGAGTTACTCAAATAACTGAAACTGTACATGGAGCTAACCTACTAAAGGCATAGGGATATTTACTTCTCCCCAGGGGTCCTCCTCCGAATCTCGGGATTCTACGCTCTATTTACAGAAAACTGCTGTTGCTCAACCATGCCACTTTAGACTTTGGTCTCTAATTGCTAGAGTCTTTTGTAGTAAGTCTCTAGATTTATTTGCTTAGTGTGTGGCTCAAGGCTGAGGAAAAACGTAAGATAGATTTAAAGAGAAAGTCTGAACTGGGACGGCCAATTTTTTTTTTTTTTTTTTTTTTTGGCAAAAGGCACTGGCCCATCTGCTTTATTGAATTTTACCATTTATTGATTAAGGTAAAGGTAAATATTTGTATACGTGCATGATATGTGAAATTTTTATGGAAACCAATGTAAGCAAGGCTTTAAAGAGAAGAGTCAACATTTTAAAATTAGAAGCAAGATAGATAAAATATATGGTTGCAATTATTGTTTTTTAAGTTATAAAGGCACTAATTGTGGCCATGGAATCTGGGTGGGGTTTATTTTGAGCTCAGCTATGGGCGCTGTCTCGTATCAGCCCATCATTTCGGTCTCAGCCGTGTCGTTGGTGGGGAGGTCACATTACTCTGCACGCCGTCACAGCGTTTCACAGCCTGCACTCCTTCCAGCATATTTTGGGCATAATCAGTACCGTGGGCTCTGGCATCATTAACATTCATGTGCCCGTCTTCACCACTTCGTGTGAAATCTGTCCCTTCCTAAAAGTGCGGCTAAATGTTACCTGCACGCTCTGGTTTTCCTGAAACACCATCTTCTTCGCTCTGAACAGAATTGTTTCATGACATACAAACCCATAGCCCATGGTACACACTGATACTTCTACTTTTTCACATGCATTACACACACATGTATGTCTAGACAAAACAACATGTATGTGTACCTTTGTAAGTGTTTATAATACACCAGGAAGTACTTTGTGACAGTTTCCCAGCACTGTGTCACTTTAAAGTAGAGAATGAACGTGTCCACTGTTCACGTAGGTGCTTGGGCAACCTGACGAACACAGTCTGATTCAGAGCTGTGATGTGTTGGTTTCACAAAATTTTGGAATGCAAGTTATAGTGCAGTATTTTATCATAGGAATCAGATACACAGACTTTCATCAATGCAATTCCTTGTATTTTTAAGATTCATTCCCCTTTTGGTACGTAAGATCCTAACAGTATAATTGACAATGTGAAATAGGAAGAAAAGGGCTAAAGGTGTAGGGGAAATGGGAAGAAGGGTAGGGGAAAGGTAATAAGGGAAAAGGAAAAAATATGAGAAAATGAAAAAATGTAAATAAAGTGCTTGTAAATAGGGAAGGGAGGAGAGGGTGAAGGGTGGGCAGGGATAAGAGGAACAAATGAGAACCAAGACCTGTCATGTAAAGGTACAAGATCCCAATGATGAATGTAACTGTACTGTCTATCTAAAAGGTACCAATAAACTCAAGAGAAAAAAAAATGAATTCCCCTTTGTGTGGAAGTTTCTGAAAGTTGAGTAAAAATGGCACATACTGTCTATAGACAATTCGTAAGATCTACCAAAAAGTAAATACCTCTGTCTTTCACCTCTGAAGGTGATTTTGTAGCTTAAGAAACTCAGATGATACTTCCGGGAGGTGCCCACAAGGAAAAGATAGTAGGAAAAAATGATAGAAAACAATTTTCCCGAGGTGAAGGTAAATAGATGTCATAAATTTCACAGGAATAATCTGTGTTCTGCACTGGATAAATCAGCACAAAAATGAACACTGTAAGCTACACACATCATAGAATAAATAGAAACAAAATCTATGCTCCTGATGAAAGAACAAAAACATTTGCAAGAAGGTAGATTTGTGGCGGATGCCACCACCCTGTGAGGCCTCCTGGGCCTCTGGTGGGGGAGTCCCTGCTCCCTGCCCCAGCCCCGCTGATCCCCACCCCGGCCCATGGCTCACTTATTTCCCTATATTAAATAAATGAATCCATAGGAGGAAAGAAAAATGGTAGATTAACCTGACATGTTTCATCAGTCACCAGAGATGATACAATCCATAGGTACAGTTCTGCTCATAACAAATAATTCCCAAACTAATCATCTTTTAACACTATATATTTATTTTTTATTTATGGACCTTCAGGATGGCTGGGATAGTTCTGCTTAAGGAATAAGTTTTATTAAATTCTGCATCTCACGCTTAAATTTAACAGTACACAGAGCGTGCTAGTCTACTAGGTAGGGCCAAGAAAAGGAGCTAGTCCTGCACATTTGAGGCTCCTCATCGACCCACCATTATCTGGCAGAAGGGAGCTATGTGTCGCAGGCCAAACTCAGGGGTGTAAGAACAGAGAAAAGCGGGGCTAAGCAAGGGAATAAACGAGCAAGATTCCAAAGACAATAAGCACATAAAATGATTCTCAACTATATCAGTCATCAAAAAGATGAAAGCCACAAGCCCTCAGAATGGGAAGCAGAAAGAGCTGGCAACCATGGTGGTGCAGCTGGAACTCTCGGTGCTGCACAGGGAGGGCAAATCTGTGCAAGAAAACAGTTTGCGTGCACTAAGGGCAAGCAGAAGCTCCTCCCTGGGGGAAGTAAACGTCCTAGTTGGTTGCTGTGCCCAACCATCCTTTATATGCTCATTTCACTTTCAAGTGTCCTCGTTTGGATGATAATTCAGTGTTCATTTCATGTGAAATCTAGCAGTTGGTCTTCTGAATACATTTCCAACCGCAAAGCAGATGTACGTTCACTGAAAGACACAGCAAGGGTATGAATGCCTCATTTTTCACCAACAGTAGACTGCACAGATATAATGTGCTTTGCCAATAAAAAGAATGCTATATGAAAGTAAAAGTGTGTCCAAAAAGAATATATGACAGCAAAAGTAAAGTACGCCCATGAGAATACATGTAGACGACTCTCACTATAACACATAATAGGAAACATATAATGTTGGGCCTTGTGCAGAAATTATAACACTACTGAAAAAGGATCTGTTGTGTTAGGTTGAGGATCACAATTGGCCTTGGAAGGAGAGATGCAGGACGGACAGGAAGCAGTAATGGAGAGTACGTGGGTGAGGTGCTGGTCACATGCTAGTTCTGCAAAGTTACACAACTTTGTCCACGTCATGAAATTCACTCAAGAAATACACACATTCTCACAGATTATGGTACAAAAGTTCAAGGGTTTGAATTTCTCTGAATTCAAATGTGAATTTTATTTCTCCTCAATATTATAATGCTTCCTCACATAAAAAAAACTCCACAAGTATAGCAGGAAGATGCCATTTTCAAAAGCAGATACGATATTCAGTAGTAGAGGCCTCATGAAGATATGTGCTATGTTCATAAATAGAATATTTTGTAGCTATTTCTACTGCATACCATAAATTTTATCAGACACATAACTAATTTTAAAATTTATAGATGCGTAAAGGGCCATGAGCAAAAAAAAAAAAACTTTTAAAAACTGAATAGTGAATTTCTTAGATATTTGAGAATTGAATAGAAGTTACCAGAGAGCAGGGATGGCAACAACAGGAGAATCTGATTGATGGGCTCTGTGTGCATATAGGTTAAAGGGTCCGAGAGTGTGGCTACTCAGCAGGTTAACTACTGAGAGGGACTGGGTAATGTGTCTGTCAGAAAGCCAGAAGAAAGGACTTGGGACATTTTCTCCATAGAGAAGAAATATATAACTGATGATATATTTTCAATCCAATTAAATAATGTTTACGTGTATTTAAACATTGCACGCTACCTTATTGATACAGTATGTACAATTTTGTGCTTTCTGTATCATTAAATTATTTAATTAAAAATGAAGCTATAGCCAGGGGTAGTGATGCACGCCTGTAATCTCAGCACTCAGGAGGCTGAGGCGGGAGGATCACTGTGAGTTCGAGACCAGCCTGGGCTACCTAGTGAGTTCCAGGTTAGTCTCAACTGCATAGTGAGACCCTGTCTCAAAAAAACCAAAAAAAAAAAAAAAAAAAAAAAAGCTATGTCGATGTGACTCACAAGCGTTATAGCAAAAAAATAGCATGGCTGGAAATTCGTAACTGATACTGGACAAATGGAAAAATGAAATACCCCTGAAAATGCTAAGAAAGTCAATATGACGTTTACTAAACACACAAAAAAAGATAAATTTGAGTTTTGCAGTCATTTCTTAGCTAGCTAGAATTAGTCACTACACACACATACACACACATATATATATATTTCAAAACACCATAAAAAATCATGTAGTACACAATGAATATGTACAATTTTATCTATCACACAAAATAAAGTTAAATAAATGACATAATAATGTACCTATTTTTATTTCAGTGAGTTTTTTATTGGTGTAAAGAAAAGTTACTCATTTTGTATGGCAATTTTGTCTTCTACAACTTTGCTATTATCAGTTCTGATAGGCTTTGTGGTGGGTTCCTTAGGCTTTTCCAAGTAGAGAATAATACCTGCAAATGGAAATAACTTCATTGTATGCTTTTCCCCATCTTCACATTATATTATCTATTTATTACAGCATTTTAGTTATGTAGATTGAGTTTTATTGTGGCCAGTTTGTGCATGGATAATCTACTTCATTCATTTTCCCACCCCAACACCCTTGGCTGTTCCTCCTCCCACATTTCCCTTTGTCATTTTTATCAATACTATTATATGTTCATGTGAACTCTCTTATCCTCTTTATTTTCTTTTCCAGATTCCACACCTGAAAGAAAACATGCAATATTTGTTTCTATGGGCTAGTTTATTTCACTTAATATGAACATTGTGGTTCAGATTTAAAATGTCCCCCAGAGCCTCGTGTGTTTGGAAGGAGATTGGACCGTGGGGTGCTGTACTCGTCAGTAGATACATCCATCGATGTGTTCAGTGGCTGGATGTGCTTTGAGGGAGTGAGGCTTGGCTGGAGGTGGGTGTGACCTGGAAAGTGTATTTTTATCTGTGGCTCATCCTGTCTGTCTCTGTTTCCTAGCTGTTATGGGTTAAAAACCTTTTCCTCCACCATGACATTCAGGCATCCTGTTTCTGCCATACAGCAATCCAGCCACAAACAGAAACTGTGACCCAAAATAAACCTCTTCCGTTTCACATTGAGGATTTGGGCATTTCCAAGTGATGAGAAGTTACAAAGACCAGTTTTGGTACCGGAAGTAAGGCTGTTGTTGTGATTTTACCATGTGGTTCAGAAGCCTTAGGAAGTGGTTTGCAGATGTAATTTGGAAAGGATTGGAGGTGAGAGCTGGGGATGCCCTATAATACTGGACACTGAGATTGATTCTGGCTGGAGCTCAAAGAACAGACTACTGATAAAAACATGGACAGTAAAGGCCTGGCTATGATGGTTTCAATTGAAAAAAAGGACTCAATTCTCAGTTATAGTAGAGGCCATGTCCATTAAGATCTGACAGAAAATTTGTCTACATTTTACCCATTTCCTGAGACTTTTTGGGAGACTAAGATTAAGGGCAATGGACTAATGAATCTAGAGGAGGAAAATGCAAAGCAATATAATGTTATGGCTGTAGCATGAGTACTGCAGGTTGCCTTTAACCAGTTCTACAGTGAGAAGCAGGAGTAAACAGTAAAGTTAAACGATTTTGAAAGTTTGCAATTTCATCAGAAAAGAAGTGTCTGAAAGCTGAGTGTGACAGTGCATGCCTGTCATCCTAGAATTTAGGAGGCTGAGGCAGGAGGACCACAGTGAGTTTGAGGCCAGCCTAGGCTACATAGTGAGTTCAAAACCAGCCTGAACTACTTGGTGAGATCCTGTCTCAAAAAAAAAAGCGTCTGCCAAGTTGGGGCAAAAGGGAACTTGGTTGCTGAAAACATCAGCATGAGAGAGAAGTGCAATATTTTTCATCCTGACAATGGAAAAAAATGGCTTGAGGGCACTTTGGGAATCACATGTCCCCACACTTCACAGGCTCAAGGTGCAAAACTGTAAAGCTTTATTTGAGAAGAGAGATTATTGAAATTTGTTTCATAGTGCTTAGCCATCCAGATACTCAGAGGCCTCTACATCCATGACCTAAGGGGACTGGCTACTGCTTGAGCTGGCAGCATATCTGGGAGTCATCCACATGGTTCTCGTTTTCCAGGCATACAAAATGTAAGACAGGCTTCCATTCCAATCTCAGAATATGGCCTGGGAGACCAGGCTTTGCCCCTAAGACAGCTGTGTATGAAGCTGTGACAGTGAAGTCAAAAGACAGTTAAGACCCCCAGAAGTTGGAGATGCCAAGGAGATTGAACGTCTGCTGAGGAAAACCACACATTAAGAAATAGGCCATGCAATCTGCAACCAGCAATGGATAGGAGCTCACATCTCACCAAAGCTTGCCCCGGGTTCTGGGCATGGAGCTACAGGATTTATTGTTATGCCCTGTTAGGTTTCAGCCTTGCTTTGCTATGATTCCTTTCTATCCCCCTATTTATCTCTTTTGGAATGGGAATATTCACTGTTTGCCATTGTACATCAGAAATATTCAACTTTCTCTTTTTATTTTTTACTGGGTTACAGCTAAGCATTGACTCATGGCCTTGAGTCACAGAAGCTTTGCCTTGGACTTGAAACTTATAAGACTTTGGTGACTCCTAGAGGTGGACTAAATGCATTTGCAAAGTGAAATGAGCATGAGTCTCACAGAGACCCAGAGGAGAATGTTTTTCTGAACCTTTGTCTCTTACTAAAGTTGTCTTCCACGTTCTGTATCTTCTTTCTTAATTCTTTCAGCTGTATATTTGTATCTTCTTTGATGCCTTTGGTCTTTTTAACTATTGGTTTTTAAAATGTTCTGATGGAATTTTATCCACTTGAATATCTACAGGGGCAGATCTCTGCCTCCGGCCCAGCATGGGATGGGCAGCTGTCCTCTTCCTAAGCTCTTCCACCATGTCGTTTCTTCCTTGGAGACAGCCAAGGATGGACTGAAAATGTGGCTCAAAATAATCTCCTCCATCAAGTTGTGGCTGTCAGGTGCTGAGTCTTAGTGGAGAAGAAAGTGGCTAAGACAGATTCTAGTACCACAGAAGTAGGATTGTTCCTATGACTGAACTCTGACCATGTGGTTCAGAAGCCTTTGAAACTGGTGAGTGGGGCGAGTAGAGAAGGTTTGAAAACAGCAGTTAAACAAGTCCCAAATGCTGCACTTGATGGAAGATTCTAGTCAGAATTCAGAAGACAGAACTCTGAAAGAAATCTATGCAGTGAAGGCCAGGCTCCTGGGTTTCCTTTGGAAACAAGGAGGCCACAGGGAGTTGACTCCAAGGCCTTATGTGTTGTGCTCTGAGAGAAAATTTGCCTGTGTTTTGCCCATATCCTGAGATGTTGCAGGAGACTGAGATTCAGAGTAGAGAAATAATTTATTTGGTGGAGGAAATTTCAAAGCAGCTCAACATTCAGGTTGTGACATGAGTGCTGTTTGTGGCTTTTTACCAGATTTATAGCAAATTATCACTCTCATTTCCCTGACAACTTACTGCAAATAGGCAGGTCAACCAAACAAACAAACAAAAATGAACAAAGAAGTATTAGAGTTAAACATCACCACAGAACAAATGAATTTAACAGATAACTGCATTGTTTCATCTGACAAGAGCAGAATAACATTCCTCACAGGAGCTCATGGATATTCTCTAACGCAGACTAGAGTTTAGGTTGTAAAGCAGTTCCTACTAAATAAAAAAGAACTAAAATAACCTCTTATAACTCACCATAGCACAACAGAATGAAACTAAAAGAAAAAGAAACCACAGAAACTGCAAAAATACATGGAGATAGAACAGCACAGTAATGAATGGACAACAAATCATTAAAGAAATCCAGGAATACTTAAAAATTCCTAGAAACATAGGACAATGGAAATACAACATATTAGAATCTGTGGGACACAAGGAAAAAGACATCACGGTGGAAGTTGGCAGCCCCGAAGCAGAACAGGGACCAGTGCCAGACAGGAAGGCGCCGGGACCAGGTACAGCGCCTGGGGTCTGTCTGTTTGCCCTATTGATATACCTACCTAACAGACAGACAGACAAACTAAGAATCCAGAGAATCCTCTCTCCGTGTAGAGAACCCACGTAAGTAGGCCAAGGGGCAACATGACAAAGACAGAGCTCTTCACCTCAAGAACTGACTCAGAGCGCAGTCCTAAGAATCCATTTCCATTCTTGGTATCGGATTAACTCTTAGCAAGGCATAAATGGTGGCAGCGAGAGCTCAGGAACACAGCCCAGAAAGGCAACATCAAAATTCAAACTCCGGCAGGTTTGACTCCAAGCACTTGGCCTTAACACCATAAAACTCCCTCTGAAACTGGGGCATTGGATGGATATAAAAACCAAAAAGCTCAACATACCCATTCATTCAAGACCTTGAACAAGTTAATTGGTATGAAGGCAGGAAATTGATTATTTTAGTGAATTCCAACAAAACACAGAAGAGATTTGCTGAGCACATTCAGTGAGGGGCTTCTTTTACACTAAGTGGAAATCCAATCGTCAGCACAGAAGCCATCACGAAGCCTGGACTATAGAGGGAATATTTTTACGTACAGTGATGTGGTGTTGATCAAAGTGCTCTTCCCGCACAGGCTTCTCTGGGAAACTGGGTTTCCTCGGAGAGGATCAGAAGCCCAATTCAGGGGTACAAGGTCTGCAGCTGAGGGCCAGCAGATGAGGAAGGATGGGTGTTTGGGAGGTGATGGGCCCATGCAGGAGGCCTTGTGTGGAGAGCACCATGCAGGTGCCAGGGCCAGGGCTGGGCATCTGACCCATGACAGCCTCTGAACACAACAGTGAAGGACTGGGCTCACTTTACGTGAGGGCTGACTCTCTGTGATTTTCTCTGTGTGGGGGACCCTGCACCTCCCAGCCAGTGCCCATCTGCCACTCTCTGTCTCACGCCCCACCGTCTCGGGCCGGAGGACCTTACCTGGCTGGTGACTGTGGTTTCTTTCACCAGCCTGCACCAAGCTTTCTAGACTAAAAATATGGCTTCATTTCCTTGATTGCTAGTGCTTTCCTCCCAGTGTGTCTGGTGTTAGGAATCCATACCTTATGCTAAAAATCCCTTCATCATCTCATACTGGAGTTGCGGAAGGCAGAGATGATCACCAAGCACCTGGTATTCCCTCTTTACCTGACATTCTCACATTAGTTCTATAGGAGTTTCAACCTGGCAGAAATGAGAAAACTAGGGCTCTGGATTGGAAAACCATCCTTGGGCTTTCAAGTGTTAAGTCAGGCCTAAAAGTGCCCTATACATTTTTCAGTGTGGCTGAACTCTTTCTCCATGTGTACTGAATGGTAGTCTAAACAAATTCTGAAACCTTCTTGTAGAATACAAATATACCTGACCACATGAGGCCCAGAGGTCTCCTGAGCCATCTTCAGTCCCTGGTGTTGCCTTTTTCTAGAACTGTAAATAAAGTTCGATGATCAATAAAATAACATTTGCTATAATTTTGTTGCTTAACAAAAGAAATATTTATTTCCCTGGACAGTGCAGCCTGGGGATATTCAGGAGGCTACTTGCTGTGATCCTTTTCTCCCAGGCTCCACATCTTAGCCTTGTACAGAGTGATGTCGTTGTACACCCGGAAGTGATTCAGCCTGCGGTCTTGGCGGTCTGGGCTGACCTAGAGAGGAGGATGCAGGACGAGGAGGACAGGGTTTGAGTCAGGTGGATTCTTTTCTCCCAGGCTCCACATCTTAGCCTTGTACAGAGTGATGTCGTTGTACACCCGGAAGTGACTCAGCCTGCGGTCTTGGCGGTCTGGGCTGACCTAGAGAGGAGGATGCAGGACGGGGGAGGACAGGGTTTGAGTCAGGTGGACCCTGCCCCTCTTCCTCCGTTCCTATCATCCTTCACACAGGTTCTCCCATGCACCAAATACCACTTGGGATGGTTGCAACTCTTCAGGCAGGATGACAAGCCAGGCCCCTGGAGTGGGACAGAACTGGGGTGCGGGATTTTTGGGTGGGGAGGACACCCGAAATTCCTCAGTGGATGATGTCACCTGGATGGAGCCAAGGAGCTGGGAGCAGCACCACATTGGCTCTTGGCTGGGCTCTGTCCCCAACTCCTGCTTCTTCCCCATCAACCTCATCGCGGTGCAGCTCATATTTATGGCCCAGTGACCATGTGTGTGCATGGAGCTAGGCACTGTGCAGTACCACCTCCTCCCTCATGAAGACCCTACGAGATACACACTGAATCTCTCCATCTCTTCACAGGAAGCAGAGTCGGAAAATGGCTAACATGCCAGGCTCTCACAGCTAGATGGTGGAAGCCTGAATTCAAAGCAGCTGTGATCAGCTCCTGCCTGATCCTCTCCAGCCCCCTGGATGGTTACCCAGGAGCAAGCTACACTCACCAAGGGCTCTGAGTCCCATCCGATCTCCTGGCTCTCTGTCTGGGTCTCGGGATATTTCTTCCTTGGTCCCTGAGCGGCATGGTGGATGAGATTCAGAAACCTGGCTGGGAGAGGTAGGTTAGCATAATAAGTTTTCTTACTGCATCCTCTACTCCAGATACAGCATTCCATAGAAGCAGAGGCCTAGGCCAGAGGCCAGCATGCCCAGGCTTGTCTCCCCTCTCAGCAAAGGTGTTGAGTACAAACTGTCTCCCTGGCATCGTTCTGGGGCTGGAGTAGGGCCCTGCTCTCCCGGAGCTTGTGGTCCAGATCGGGGCAAGGGACACAGCCTACAGGTAACAAACTGGCCAGGGAGAGCAGAAGGGGCTCTCTGAGGAAGGGAGGAGGCGGGGGGCTTGTGAGGGCAAAGATGGCAGCTCCAGACAGGGACGGAGAGGAGGCCTGCGGGTGGCCAGCGGGCATGAGCCAGAGAGGCAGACAGCACAGAGGCCACACTGCCCACTAGCAGACCATGCTGGTACTGTGCCTTGGGAGCCCTGGCCCATAAGCCAGGGTGTCCCTGCCGGGGCTTGCTCCTGAGGTCTCCTCTTGGTGCATGTCCCAGCGCCCCAATGCCTGACAGGAGGCACCCGCGTCCTGTGCTGTGGCACAAGGACCCCATGCCCACAGCTCTTCTCTGTGTTCACAAGTCCCCTCCTTGTCCCCGCTTCCCCGCCCAGCCCCACTGTGGTCTATCTCATGTACACGTGAAGACAGTAGACATTTACTGGGCACCGTGTACCAGACACTGCTCTAATGCCTGCATGGTTTTCTTCACCCTCACAGCAACCCTATGGAATAAGATCCCAGAGATTGCAAGACCTGCCCAAAATCACACAGCTATTGAGTGGCCAAATGAGGATTCAAACTCCGTCAGTAGGACTCCGAACCTGTGCTTCTGGTGCCTCCATGTTTGATGAGTGAATGGACGGACGGACGGATGGATGGGTGGGAAAGTTAAATTCATTGGGAACATTTTTGTTGGCTTGGCAGTTAGGGATTAGGCATTACGGTTGGATGCCAAGTCTCTCATGAGCTTGGTTAGTTGGAGTCCAGTTTCTAGACTGAGAGCAGAGGACCCTGACACTCCACCCAGGGGCCTCACCAGCCAGCCAACTCCCTGCTCTCTGCTCCATTGTCCTCTCACACTCAGGACTCACCATCTGCGGGTTCCTCCAGGTTGTCGTGCCAAGACATGGGCTTTCTGGTGATGGTGTGGACTGGAGAAAACAACACCAGCTGGTTCTTGTTAGGACAGAAACCCCTCCTTCTCTATCCCACTTAGTACTTCCTGAATTGGGCACTGAGCTGAGCTCTGGAGCATGCACTTTGCTGAGGCTTTCCTGACCTAGAGTAGCAGTGCCCAGTGGCCGCTGGCCACAAGTGGTGCCTTGCATGTTGTTATGGTTTAGATCTGAAAGGCTCTGTTCAGAGGAGCGCTTGGGAAGGCGACTGGATCCCAGGGCACTGTGGTCATCAGTGGGTTCATCCATCCATGACTTCATGGCTGAATTGCTGTCAGAGGGTGGGCCTGCTTGGAGGGGTGCAGCCTAGAAAGGTGATATTCATGTCTGCAGTTCCTCCCCTCTCTCTCTGCTTCTTGGCCACCATGACTTGACCGTCTTTCCTCCACCACACCCTTCTACCATGCTACTTCTGCTTGGAACCAGCAACCATGGACTGAACCCACCGAAACTATGAGCCGAAGAAACCCCTGCCCCTTAGAGTTGTGGACGTCGGGCATTTCTGTTCTAGTGAAGAGAAAGTGCTTACATGGATCAAGTCTAAACAGAAACTACGTTTGTTCTAAGCAAAATGAAGTCGCGTTTTCCCCAGAACTTCAGACCCTGTAGACAGTAGTGGAGGAGGCATGGAAGTAGGGAAAGAAGTTCAAGAACAAAGTCTATGTTGCTGAAGCTGTGGCGGAGGCAGGGCACGTCTAGGAAATCCATTCACTTAGAAATGGTGGACTGCAAAGGAGCAGGGCTGGGGATCTTCAACCCCAGCCACGTAGATGAGAAGAAACTGGGTGCGTGGGCAGTTGGGATGGGGTGGGGCTGGGTGGACCTGGGCTGGATCGGGGGCCTCACACGCAGCCTGACTTACACGGAGCTCAGAGCTGTGGGGCACTGCAGTGCGTGTGGCTCCAGCTAGCAGCGGACACGGGAGTCACCCTGGAGGGCAGCTGGGCACGGTGGGCATTCGGGTGGGCGCTCAGGGATGCTGATGTTGAGGGGCCGGAAAACACGACAGGAGAGTGCAGGGTGCCAGGCGGGGAGGGCGCCAGGGCAAGGGCAGCGCAGGAGGGGAGATTCCCACCGCTCAGCGTTCAGAAGGGCGAAAGTCATTAGAAGCCAGAGAGAGGGAGGAAGGAAGTGAAAGCCTTTATACAATATGGGAAGCCTGAACATTTTATATAAAAAACTATCATATTAAAGAGATCCCAAAACACAATCAAAAACTTCTCCAAAACATTATTTCAGAATCAAAACTGCAAGAAGCCACTCGTTCCTCATCTGTGCACCCAACACAGCGGCAGTGGGAAGCCTGAGGACCCAGCACCTGTGGGTGACGCTGGAGGAGGGCGTGCCACGTCCCACCCCACCTCCCGCGCCTCCCAGCCGCACCCTTGCGCAGGGGGTTCACGTGGTACTGCGTGTACAGCTTCTGCGTGCGGAGCTCCTTGAGGTACAGTTCCCGCAAGATCTGGTTCTGGTGAACCTCGTCCTGGGCCACTTTCTCCCTCTGGCGGGCTGCCATGGTCCAGGCGCTGCTGCTGCTGATCTTGCCTTCTGAGTCTCCAGCAACGGAGTCCTGCTGTTTCCAGGCAACGGCGTCCTTCGGCGTCTCCAGGCAACGGCGCTGGTGCAGGATAGATCTCAGCCGGTCACCGTTTCCCTGCGTCCATCCTTGCGACCCTCTGGGTCCTGTTTCGTACCTAGTCAGTTCTGGAGCTGGACTCCAGCCCAGGTTAGGACCCAGCTGGGTACGGAGCCGCCCGGGGAGGGCTCGCCCGCAGTGGCAGACCTCAGGTAAAGGGCTGAGGATCCGCCTCCTCTTGGCCTCTGTTTCTCAAAGATTTGGGGAGGAGTTGGAAGCTTCTCACTTTAGAGCAGATGCTCTGAATTGAAATCCCGAATCGCATGCACACACACACACACACACACACACACTCACACACAATCTCATTCTGACCCCCGCAGTAATTCAGCCAGAATCGCCTTTCCTAATTCACATAACCCGGCAGCTTCATCTGTTTTTAAGTTTTCATTGTGGTAACAACCACATCATAGAAAATATCCCATCTGGGCGATTTTTAAATGATGCTCAGTTCAGTGGTCTGGAGGAAACCGAGCCACAGACACCTGGTATGACACGGTTCAGCAGGACCAAGAGCGGGGCTCCCAGCTCAGGGCTGCACACTGACTCCCCACCTGGGTTCCTCTGCCCTGTGCTTTCTCCCTCCTCCTTCCTTCTTTCATGACAGTGTGTTCCAGGGTTTTCTGCCTGACACCATTCAGACAGACACCGGCGCCGGCTGAGGCACGTGTGCTCCTTCATGGGCTGTGGCCCTGCGCGGCTTTCACATCCGGCAAGTCTCCAACAGCCTCCTGGAGTCTCTTCCTCCCCGAGGCAGAGAAGAAAAGGAACTGCCACTGTGGGCATCACTGTTTTGGCTTTGCTGTTGTCATGAGGTCCTGGAAAAAGGTGATCGGGGAGTGGCCAGAGGGTGGGTGTGGAAACCAGCCTGGCCCAGATGGGAGCCCCATTCAGGAGCCTTAGAGCCCTGGCAGGTGATGGAGAGGCTGCCAAACCGCACCCCACCCTGGGCTCTGGGGAAGGCGTCCAGTCCTGTCCCGAGCCCCAGACACCCAGGAGTGCAGCTCCGAAACACTGCAGCTCCCAGACTCCCACAGCAGATTCTGAAACTCTGTGGCCAGGAATGGTCAGTCCTGCTAAGTGTGCTCAGAGCTGACAGGGGACAGACGGACGGATAGACAGACAGACAGATGGATGAATGGACAGTGGGTGGGCAGATGGACAGATGGATGGATGGACAATGGGTGGATGGATGGAGGCACAGATGTATGGATGGATGGATGCACAGACAGTCGGAGGAATGGACAGATGGGTGGAGGGATGGATGGACACAAGGAGTTGTGGAGACTGGAAAGGAGAAAGGCCAGGCCCAAGAGCTGTCCTGCCTCTTCCGGCCAGCAGATGACAGCAGAGGCAAATTTTTGAGGTTAGCCAGGCTTAGCCCTGTTTGACAAGTGGATTTACTTGTTCCTGGGATTATAAGAGGCAAGGCCCCCAGAGGCCTGGATCCCCAGGCAGAAATGAGTGCTACATGGGCAGAGGAGTGCTGTGGTGGCCCAGGCCGGCCTGGGGATGAGCGTCCCCTGTGTGAGGCGTGGGGAAGGGGCAGAGACGGGGAAATGAGCAGCACATGCCTAGCTATAGGGCCCCGGGACAAAGGGGCAGACTGGTCTTTGAGACGTGTTTTCCAACCATGTAACAGCACACCGTGCCCAGTAGGGTCTTGCTCAGTGGCCCAGTTGTCCAGGTTGGTCTCAAACTTGCAATCCTCCTATCTCAGCTTCCTGAGTAGCTGGGCTAGGCGGACATCTTTAATGTTACCACAGACACAGCCATCCGAACCAAATCTCATGCCCTGCCAGGTTGGTCACTGGCGGGGAGGCAGGGAGGGGCACAGGGTCAGAGGCCAGAATAGGAGCAACGGAATTTGAAGACCTAAAATAAGGCTACCAAGCCCCTTTTTTAAAATGTGATTTGGGGGATTTTTTTTTCAAATCTTTTTGGGGTTTTTTCTTTTAGTTTTAACTGAGTTTATTGGTACGTTTTAGGTGTACAGTACAGTTACATTCATTATTGGGATCTTGTACCTTTACATGACAGGTCTTTATTTTGAAGACAATCTGTTCAACTAAAATAAGGTTCTCGCCAAACAATTTCATCGGAGAGTGGTGATCGTCTCCAGAGCCGTTCCAATAAAGCAGGGAGAGGTGCTGGACGGCCCTGGGAGGGTGGAGCGGGCGGGAAGGGATGGGGGAGGAAGGGAGAGGACATGAGACAGACACTGACGGGTGCCAGCTTCCTTTCTTCCCTTTTTCCCGAATTTTCTCTTGCCCCTGGGCAGACTTCCATCCCCTCTCCAGAGCTCAGCCTCCCTGATCCCGGGTCCTACCTCAGTACTGTTTCTCAGCTCATTTCTCACTTTCGGCCAAAGCCAGCAGGAGAGCATCCTGCAGCCCCTGCTCTGAGCTCATTTAACCCCATCCAGCTCAGCCAGTTGCACGAATCCGCAGCAATGGGGCCAGGTGGGAAAAGTTCCTCCTCCTCCTCTGCCTGCTGGGCTCTCAGGGCCGGGAAGGTGCAGAGGTCCTGGCTGCCTGCTCTCGCCCTGCGCCCTGCAGGCCACAGTGCCATGTGGATGGAGTGAGCCAGCAGCATCTGTCTGCTGCCTCTCCTTTAACAAGAGAGGAACTCTTTCTAGCACAGGGATAGAGTGGCGTCCTGACAGCGGAGCTCCTCTGTGACATCTCTAACTGTGATGTCGATGCGGTGGAAGACGGCACCTGTAAGGTAAGTGTCTCAGCGGGCCACGGCGGTGCACACCAGTACTCCAGCACCATGGGAGGCCGAGGCAGGAGAAATAAAGAGTTCCAGCCCAGCCTGGCTACTTACCAAGACCCTGTCTCAAAATACAGAATGAAAAAGGGCCCCTGCTCCTCAGGTCCCCCTCACCATGTCCTCTGTGCCCAAGTTTTCCCTGCTATAAGGACTGAGTCAGCTGGGTGGGGGCCACACCATGACCTCATCTGAATCCGACAGCCCCTAACAGGCACTGGCTTCACTACGCTCACAGCCGGAGCACTGTGGCGGGGGTGTGCTTCAGGTTTCCTGGGGGGCACACAATTCAGTCCACAAGAGGTGCTTGGGAAGGAAGACTTGAAAGAGGAGATTCTGTATGAAGAGCCGGGTCCCAGGCACAGGAGCTCCAGAGACCCCTGGCCTGTGATGGTCGGGCAGATCCCCCAGGACATGTGTGGGTCAGGAGATGCCCCGGGGTGGCCTTCCGCACCCCCAAGTGTGCCACAAAACATGCTGCTGGCGGTCCCCGCAGGGCTGAGACCTGAGCCTGTACCCCCAGGCTGTGTGGGGCAGTTAGTCCCCAGGGGCACAGTGCCTTTCTGGACACCACCATGGGCAGCAGGAGATGGTGTCATCCAGGAAGTAGAGAGCTGGCCCTGCCTCGCCAGAAGTGGGAAAACACACGCCTGTGTCACCGGCCACCCTGCCTGAGGGGCTTCTGTCCAAGATGACACAGCAAGGCAGTGGATCCCAGCGCCCCCCACTGCCCACTGGGCAGCTCGGGGCCCAGGACCCAGGATGTGAAGCCTGGGGTGCACGTGTCACCTCGGCGGTATCTGCCGCACACAGAAGCCCTCACCACAGCACAGCGTGACTCTGTCTAGGGGCGGGGCTGAGGGGTAAAGAGGGACAGTGAGGTCTGGGATCCAGATGACAGGAGGACAGCTGGGCACAGGGAAGACCACATGAGGACAGGAGGAGACATCCAGCGCCAGGCCAGAGAGGGGCTCACCCTGCACCTTGGACCCGGGCCACTGCAGGGGCCTCGTCCACTTCTGCGATTCACTTGTGTGTTTGCAGCACTAAACACAGGGCCTTCATACTGTGTTGCATTCCAGCCTGTTTTTATTTTTTTATTTTGAGACAAGATCTGACTAAATCACTAAGATGTCCAGGCTGGGCTTGAACACCCAACCCTCCTGTCTCAGCCTACCAGAGTGCTGGGATGACAGCCACGGGATTCCAGGTGTCGAAGCCGCCAACCTGTGGCATGGCAGCCACAGCAGACCAGTGCGTGTGTTTTAACCTTTGGGAGCCAACAGAGCTTGCTCCCAGTTGTCACCCAGACAGGGCCAGAGGGGGCAGCAGTGTTGCTGAGAGCCAGAGCCTCCCTGGCTCGGGTAGGGGAGCTGGGGACCCTGAGAACAGCCCAGGGCACAGATCAGCGGCTCCCTTCTGTCATCCAGGGGCAGGGTCCACACAGTGGCCTGTTCCGGGGCCCCATCCGCCCTGAGCAGGGCCTCTGGAGATATTCGCTCTGTCCCCCAGGCCCTGCAGCATGGCAGCAGAAGCTCCCGCTTTCACTTCCAGATGGTCTTGGGGGTGCCTGGGAGGGAGGTTGCCAGCTGGCTGGGCTCGTGAAGGGCCAGCTGGTGCCAGCTCTGGCTCCAAACACGGTGCCCAGGCTCTCGGCTTCCCAGGGCCCCGGGCAGCTGCCAGGAGTAGGGCTGGGTTTATCACACAGCAGACGCCCTGCCTCCTGCCTTCTCAGAGGCACACAGGCGGGGCCTCTTCCTTTTCTTCCTTTTTTCTATCTCTTACTATTTTTCTCTAGATTTCTTAAGGTAGGATTGACCAGTATGGGTGACTTTCCTCAGGCAGAAGCGGTTCCCAGGATGGGCTGTGATCTAGAGCTGCAGCGTTTTTGTGTTGATTAGGGAGAGGCTGTGGGTGAGAAGTGATCCACCTGGTGAGCTGCAGCCTGCGTCTTCTGCCTTTGGCAAGAGACAGACTTTGTGAGGGGAAGTGCTGCCAGGAAAGGGGATCCCCACCAGCCCCAGGCTTGGCTGATGCTGGGGAGCAGGACAGGCACGAGTGCCCATGCAGGAGAAAGCCTGGCCCTTTGGGTGCATCCAAATCGAGTGCAGTCCCTGTGATCCCAGACCCCCACTTAAAGGTTAATAGGCCAGCTAAAAGCTGCCTAGGTGCTTGGGCTGTGTGATGCTGTCCCATTGTGCTGTCTAGCACAGTTCCACTCTGTCCTCCTTGGAGAAAAACAAGGTGTATCCATTCATCCTTCTCAAATCTAAAACCAGGCTTTCCTTCCCAACTTAGGGCCAGAGCTTTTCCATTTCCTCTGGCATGGAGGATCTTTTGGCTGGGCCCAAGTCCAACATTGGTAGTTTCCCTGGGAGGTGTGACCATTAACCATGATGTGTCAGTGTGAATGGAACAGGAAATGCTCAGCAGATTAGTAAGCACAGTTCTGGGCATGTCTGTGGATGACTGACATGCAGGCCAGCAAACCAAGGGTTAAGACCCACTCAGATAGGGTGGCACCAACCAATAGGCTCATAGCCTGGATGGAATAAAAAGGGAAAGAAGCAGGAAGTGTGCCCACTTTGAAGAGCTCCTGTCTTCCTGTGCAGATGCACCTTTTGCTGCACCTTTGAACATTGGTCTCCAGTTTCTACAGCCTCCAACAAAGACTAGAACTGGTGACTCTATTGAGCTTCCAGCCCTTTTACCCTGGACTGGCCCTGCATCCTTGATCCCTCTTGTTCAGTGGCTTCCATCTTCATAGCTGAGCAGCTTCTGCGTCCTCCACATCTCCAGCACATGGATGTCCACCCACTGTGGACTCTCCAGCCTCTGATCCGTTGTTGCCAGAACACAGGACTTGTGTCTCATGGTGTCACAGAATGAAACCCCAGATGGAAGAGGAAAGAGTCTCGAGCAAGGAAGCTAATTAGGAAAGCAAAAACAGGCAAAAGGGAAAGCTCCCGCTGTTGGAGGGGACCCAAAAGAGGGCTGCCAGAGAGGGCTTTCAGTCCAGGGGCTTTTATGGAACCTGAGAAGGAAGTAAGTGTTTTCTCTCTGTGGATCTCCATCAGAGTGGACAGTGCTCTATCTGGCGGGAAATGACCACTTCCCCAAGGCCCAGTAATGACAATGACCATGGGCTCACCACATTCCCTCAGCCAGTCCCCACCTGGTCCACACACTCCGAGGAAGGCTTGAGCAGCTGAAGACAACCTTTAGTCCTTCATCTCTGTCTTCTTCAGCAGTTTAGAACTTCTTCTCGGGCTACTGCTTTTTGTCAACCCACCTTATCTGACCCCATTCTGTAGGTCTGTATCCGGACGGTCTATACCCAGTCCACCTCCTGTTTCACTGTAAGTCTACCTAATAAGTCCCCTTGCATAATTATGCATATTTTTTTCTCAGTCCTGTTCCTCTGGAGAACCCTAATTAATATGGATTTTGATATTGAGAGTGTGGTCATTTCTGTGACCATGTGGTTCAGAAGCCTTTGGAACTGGTTTGCAGGAGGAGTTTGGAAAGGTTTGGAGATGCCAGCTGCCAAAGCCCTAGAATGCTGTTAGTGGAGCTGAATGGATGACTCAATTTGGAGTTTACAAGACCAGAATGCTGAAAGGAATTTTAGACAGTACAGGCCAGGATCATGAAATTTCAAATGAGAATGTGGACTCTGTTGGAAACTGGATTTTGTCCTGCGTGTTTCATCCTGGCAATTTGTCTACATTTTTTCCAGGTCCTAAGACTTTGTGTGAGGCTGAATTTAAAGATGTTGGAATAATTGATCTGATAGAGGAAGTTTAAAGGCAGCCCAAAGTTTAGGCTGTGGCAAGAGTATTGCTAGCTATTTTCTTATAGCCAGCTCTACAATGAAAATTGTGAACTAAATGATGTGGGAAAACTTGCAGCTTGGTCAGAAAGGAAGCTTCTGTAAACTTGGACCTAAGAAGAGCATTATTGTGGGAAAAGGGTATGAAAAAACTAAGCATTTCACGTCTAGTCAATAGAAAAGATGGCTTGAAGGCATGTTAGGATTGGCTAAACCCCAACTTTCACAGGCTCAAGAGTGTAAAAGGTTAAACTCATTTGAAAGATTTTGCTTTAAGAGAGCCTTGTGCTTTAAGAGAGTCCCAGGGCTCCCCGCTGTTTCAGGGCCAAGTAGGGAAGCATTTTCCGAAGTCCAGCTACTCAGGCACTCGGTGCCACTGCAGCCACAGTCCAAGCAAGCCGAGCTACTGCTCAGGCTGTGGCAGACCTTGACGTCGTCTGTGTAGTCCTGGCCTTTCAGGTATGCTGAATGCAAGGGATGAGGCCATGGAGGTTTCCACTTGGATTTCACAGGAAGGCCTAGGAGCCAGGCCATGTGCCCTGAGAGGGTGATGCGTAAAACTGCAAGAGTGAAGCTGAAGGTGCAGTGGAGCCCCCAGGAAGTTGGAGGTGCCAGGAAAGTGCTTTATCTTCTGGGTGAAACCACAGCAGTGAGAAGCTCACCCAAGCAAGAGGCCATGAAGGCTGCAATGAGCAAGGCCATGGGCCAGGGAGGCAGCGGTGCTGCTCACACCTTTGAGCTCACGTCTCACCTCAGCCTGCCCTGGGTGCTGGACATGGAGTTATGGGGTCTAAGGATTGCCCTGCTGGATTTCAGTCTTAGTTTAGTCCAATTCCCTTCTAACTCCCTATTCCTCCCTTGTCAAATGAGAATGTTTGCCCTGTGCTATTATATGTTGGAAGTATTTATAACTTCCTGGTGTATTATAGGGGCTCACAGCTGAGAGTTTGCCTTGCATCTATGAGGAGACTTTGTCTAGGACTTTTCAGCAATGCTGGAACTCTTAAAACATTGGCAACTTTAGAGATCGATGAAATGCATTTTGTGTATTGAAATGACCATGAGCCTTTTGGGGACCAGGGAAAGAATGTTATGATTTAGATCCCCCCAAAAGTGCCAGAGGTGGAACCTAAGTGGAAGCAGTGGGTCACTGGAGGTATAACCTGAAAGGATGTATTCTTGTCATAGCTTCTCCCTTCTTTTTCTCTGATGCCTGGATGCCAAGAGTTGAGCAGCTTTCCTCTGTCGTGACCTTCCACCACTCCATTTCTGCCTTGAAGCCATCTGACCATGGACTGAACCCACTGGAAACTGAGCCAAATAAACCTCTACTGTAAGTCGTGGACACCAGGTATTTTGTCCCACTGACAAGAAAGCTAATACAGAAAGGGATAGACATTAAAATTTAGCTTTGTGCCCTCCTCCTCTTACTGGAAACAAAGTAGGGCAGACAGGCCTTTCAGTCCCAACTACCATGAACCTCAACAGAAACTTCAGTCTGGATCCTCCATTCTTGTCTCTGGAACTTAAATGCTGCCTCTTTGTGCCCTACCCTCACCACCCCGAGGGTTCACTCAGCAGGTAACCAGGGGCATGAGCCAGGGCTCACCTGCTCCCTCACCCACAGTGTACCAGAGCTCCGACACTGGTGGCTCACCTTCCAGGAGGATGACACCACTCCCCCAGAGGCCCTGGAATGGACATAGTTCAGCCGCATCCCCTCCCACACATCTGCTGGGTGCCTGCATTGGCCTGGATGGGGATGCTGTTTACTGATGGATTTGTGGGCCAGGTGTGGTGGTGCACATTTGTAATCTCACCACTTTAGAGATTAAAAGAGGGCTGGGGCAGGAGAATTACCACAAGTCAAGTTCACGCCCAGCCTGAGCTGCACAGTCGGGGGGTGGAGGAGATATCACACCAAGTTCTGGAGTGAGGCAGATCTGAGTTCCAGCCCTCACTGTCCTGACTTGTACAACCACAGATGTACACATCCCCTCTCCGAGCCTCAGTTTCCTCATCTGTAAAACAGCCTAGTATTCGTAGCTACCTCATGGAACTGGGAGCAGAAGGAAAGTTCATGGTCAAGGAAGGGTGTTTGGGATCAAGTAAAGCTCATCTTGGCTGAGAATGGATTGGTGGTGTCTAAAGAAGGGGACCCTGGTAGACAGCTGCTGCAGTAACCTTGGAAACACACAGATGACCTAGGACAGCATGAGAAGGAACACTCATTCAAGAGATGTGGGGCAAGAGAACATGTGTAAATGAATATTACTTGAAATTATTTGCAGAACAAGGCTGAATCAAGAGCTCTCCTGCCCCCTGGGTCCAAAATGTGTCCCATCAGATGCAGTCTGCATGGAGAAGTTAGGGGTCACCCAGCCATGTAGTCTTGTGATTTGTCTTGTGTTCACAGACAAAGGAGAAGAGGAGCATGTCTGAGTCATCACTGCACACTCTGTTGAATACAATGTAAAGCCACAATGAGAGGAGAAAAAAGGAAAATTGAACATCTGACTTCATCTTGACCACCAAGTAGAATTGGGTCAGTAAAAAGCAACTCATCACAGAGCCAGTTGGGATCTTAAAAAGCTAGTTCATCGGTAAGATTGGTACTGACTGCAAAACCAGCAAAGAAAGAGTCTGCCAGGCAGAAAGTATCACGATGACAATATGCAGCATTTCCTGCCAAAGAGGACTATCATCTTTCCTGGTGGCATTAGTCAGAAATCCATGATTTCAGCCAGAAAACCACAACAGAATGTGTCATGTGCCATGAAATGCTTCAGCTTTTCCCTACCCACATAAGCAACTTTCCTCATTTTCTGATTTCATTACTTAGTTAGAAAATACACTGTAGCTCATAGTTGGAATCTTTCAAAGCTGACCTGATGAAGAGATACACCTAAAACTAGACTCCCTAAGGTGCCTGTCTCCTTCATCTATGAGGGGTCTTTCCACACACACCCTTCCTATGTGGGACACAACACATTAGATGCCCATGGTCTTTTGGGAGCAAACAAAATGTATCCCTTTTAACCTGACTGCTAAGGTTTTTTAATTTAAAGTTTTCATTAAATATCCAATGGGCTGCATAAGAAACATAGGCTCACTGTAGAAAGTTTTCAAAAGAGAACGTAAAAATCCTCATAATTTCAACAGCCAGGAGCAATCAGTCCTGAAAGTTAGACACTGGGGCTTCACAGGATTGGTTCAGACAGTGGTCTTACCAGGTCCCTGGGAGGGGCAGCATCTCGGCCCCACAGCATGAGCCTGGGCTGGGGGTTCAGCAACAGCTCCAGTAGGAGGAGGACGCAGCCAACCCCGCTGGGCAGGACTGGGCCTTGACACCTGCCTTGACCAAGGCGATGGCAGCAGAAGGGTTGGGTGTCCCTTGTTTTAGTCCCAGGGACTAGGGATTGAGCCCAGAGGCCCCTTTCTCAGAGCCACACCCCTAGTCCTTTTCATCTGTTGAGACAATCTGCCCAGTTGCCCTCAAACCTGTGATCCTCCTGCCTCAGCCTCTTGAGTAGCTGGTATTACGGGCATGCACTACCATGCCTGGCACTGTGCCACTTTTAGCAAAAGCTCTAAGAGTCGTCACGTAGCTGTGCCATATTCTTTTCCTCTCCCATGAAATGAGCAACAACCTACACAGAGATGGCAATATCAGCTTCGGCTCCACAGCACAAGAATCCAGAGCAGAGCTGCAGACAGCCCACAGCTGACAGTATAAGCAAGCACTCAACTTTGTCACTGTCGGACCAACACTTCCAGAGATGCTTGTTACACAGAATACCTTAGCCTACACTGACAGGTACACCCCTGCAAAGTGGCCACTGAGTCCTTCTTGTGTCTGGAGAGCTCTGGTGTAGAAAAAATATTTACTAGCCAGGTGTGGTGGTGCACACCTGTAATCCCACCACTTGGGAGGCTGAAGCAGGAGGATCACTGTGAGTTCGAGACCAGCCTGGGCTACATTGTGAGTTCCGGGTCAGTCTCAACTACATAATGAGACCCTGTCTCAAAAGCCAAAAAAAAAAAATTTGCTTCAGTTTCAACTTATAATTTATGTGTTTAAAAGTTTATTTTAAAACTTAATTTTGAAGCTCTTAAACTTGTGTTATTATAAGTCCATTAATTTTATGTATGTTATGATCTAATTTTATTGTTTTGATTAATGCCTAATTAGCTTATAAATTTTATAAAGTACACCCAAATATTTATCAAAATTTTAAAATTAAGTTTTAGAAATTTCAAACTTTCTAGTAGTTGATTTTCTCAAGTTCTTAAATCAACAAAGCAGTCTTTGGGGGTGTGGGGTCCCGGGGGTTGAACGCTGGTCCTTTGCATAAGCTATAGCCCAAGCCTTTCAATTTTTTTATTTTGAGACAGGGTCTCCCTAAATTGCCCAGGCCAGGACTGAAATTTGCAATCCTCCTACTCAGCCTCCCAAAATGCTAGGATTACAGGTGTGCGCCACCATGCCTGGCACAGTCTTACATCTCTACAGTCCAAAGACAAGCATCTTACTAAACACTTAACACAGAGAAAACTTAAATTTAACAAAGCACTACAAACATTCGAACACTGACCCACGCTGAATTACCTGAGTGTTTCACTAACATTTCCAGCCTTTGCCTCAGGCTTCCTCAGTGCCTTGCAAAACAGGAAGTGCGCGCAGAATATTCTGTCACACAATTCATTTCTAGATACAATTCTAACTGGACAGAGCTTATCTTGCCATCAAAGGGTCTTTAGTGCTCTTGTTTCCTGGCACTAACAAAAGAGTCCTACCTCCTCTGGATGCTCCCTGCCCTGGAGAACTGAGGCTGGAATGCAGATGAGACCGCGACAGAGCTGCCCCGGCCACTGGGGGGCACACCGGGGACAGAGTCCTCGCCTCTGGGAGCCGCAGGGCCATCGCCCCAGGTATTCCAGGTCAGGGTGCCTCTCAGTCAAATGCAGCCCCTGCCTGAGCTCACAAAGACGGAGAAGGGCAGAGAGCCCTGCCCAAGGAGGCAGCTGGCCCAAGGGGCAGGAGAGGGTAGGGGTCCGGTGGCTCGATACAAATAGCGGTGGACCCGAGGATCTGGGGGAAGGCTACCTTTCTTCCTCCTGTGCAACATGGGGATCCGAGCAGCACTGCCCGCTGGCCATGGTGAGATTTTGGCTGGGCACTCGGCAGGGGCTCAGCAAACAGTTGCTGTCGGAGCCAGCTTCAGGTTGGCTTCGAACCTGGGCCAGCACAAAACCCTCTGCCTTCCTGGTAATGGCTTCCTCTCTGCACCTTGATGCCCAGACCTCCCCTCGGCTTCCAACCTGGTCGGAGCACAGCCAGGCCAGCGCTGTCCTCTCCCCGAGGACAGGACAGCGACGGCTCCGGCACACACGCAAGTGTGCAATGCACACACACACGCAGGTGCTGTTGGGTCACACTACGTATTTTCTAAATTATCTCTAACACATCCGGAACACATTCAGCAAAATATGTTTCTACAACAGTTTACCTAGAGTCCCCGATGGACTCTATTTCTATGATTTGCTGTGGTAGCACTGTGGCTAGTCTCCTCACTGAAGAGGAGTCATTATCTAGTACTAATTTCCCAGGGAAATCCTCAAACTGGCAATGCCAGGCCAAAGGAATGCTACCCACACTGAGCTGAGTGCCCAGAGCGTGGGAGCCCCACACTCCCGGCGGCTCCAGTACTTGGTGAAAGACGACTTGCCAGTTTGATCAGAAAGCTAAATTTCCTTGATGGCTAAGGCTACCTGTTAGTTTCATATTTATCAGTTACGTGTTTCTACTGTAGAGTATTTTTTTTATTGACCTGTAAGGACACTTTAATTAACGCCATGGTTTAGATCTGCAGTATCCCCCCAAAGCCTCATGTTTTCGGAGGCGAGGACTTTGGAAGGTGGCTGGATCACCTGGTGCTCATGGGTGGAGTCAGCCCCTGATGAGAGGCGGGGCCTGGTGGGAAGGGGTAGCCAAGGGCGTGACCCGGAAGCGTTCATCCCCTCCCAGCTCCTCTTTCACCTCTGCTTCCGGTTCACCACGCATGCGCAGCTCTGCTCTGCTGGACCCTTCCAGCTGCTGTTTGGGGCAGCCAACCATGGACTGAAACTTAGGACTGTGAGCCAGAACACAGCCGCCTCCCTTAAGCTGCAGGTGTTGGGTATTTTGTCCCAGCAATGAGAAAATGACGAAGGCAATGATTACAGTATTAGTAGCACGTGGTTGTGTTAAAATTCTTACTTTTGTGGTTGGTCATAGCCGTGAGATATTTAAGCCTATATATAAGTATTTTTGGTTCTTTGGTGCTGGGGATGGAACCCGGGGCCCCTTGCACACCAGGCCACGGGTCCCAGGTCCTGATGAAGTCTGTGCAATCAGATGCTCACATCTCTCTTCCCGGCCCCAGTCCTACATACGCAGAGCACATCGGCCTCGTCAGCCCCCGCAGAGGGCGCCGAGCCTCGCTGCCTTGTCCTCCTCTGAGCCGCGCGTTCCTGTCCTCATTGGCAGCTGCGTGTGGAGCGCCCCAGCCTTGCCTGGGGTCACGGTGGACGCGGGGTACAGAGTGCGCACCGCAGGTGAACGTCCCGCACGCGGAGAGCTTCCGTTCCGGAGTCGGGGACCAAAGTGAACAAACGAGGCCAGGGAGGTCCAGGAGGAGGCAAAGGCCAGGAGCACTGCAGGGAGAGGCCTGGTGCGAGGAGGGGAGGACTCAGGTGGGGGAGATGAACGGCTTGAGAAAACCTCCACAGGACTCACTCGGCGGGGAGGCCAGCGAGAGTGACGGGGCTACAACCAGGGACGACCAGGCTGCAGTGGGCGATGGCCCGCGTGGGCTGTGGGGGCCCCGAGACCCTGGCTTCGGTGAGAAGGGGGAGGGTGGTGAGCGGCTATGACAGTGATTTCCCAGGTGCTACATCTTTAGAGCGACCTTGCTGTTCTCCCACAAAGAGCACAGGTGAAGGGATAAAGAAAATGCAAGGTTATTCCCGGTGTGGTGGCGCTCGCCACTAATCCCAGCACTAGGGAGCCTGAGGCAGGAGGATCGCTGTGAGGTCAAGTTAAAGACCAGCCTGGGCTACATAGTGAGTCCCAGGAGAGTCTCAACTACATAGTAAGACCGTGTCTCTAAACAAAACAAAACAAAAACACACAAAAACAAACAAAAAATAATGTATGTGGATTTCAAGGCACCCTGTGGGTACCACAGATAGTCTCCCCCTGCCGAAGGCCACAGGGGGGACGCTAGGGCTGAAGGAGAGACGCTGTCATTTTCAGTTTTACATTTATTAAAGTACAGAGCTAACAAGCTTTGAGGCTTCTACATAGGAAAAGACTGGTGAACATAAGGTGCTTTATAGAAAAATTAGCATCCAAAAAATATAAATGCATAATCAGCATTTTGACACAAGGGGAAAACAAGTTTTAGAAGTTAGCAAACCCTAACCCTATTGGAGACCTTTACAAACACCGAACAGCAGTTCTACCTCACACAGTGCCTTTTCAGATTCTAAAATACAAATTTCAATACAAAACGTAACCACAAAACTTGGCTACTGTAGCTAAGTGTTTCAGAAAAGTTTAAAAAATTAACAAACTTGTGATTATAAATTCTTTGCAAAATAAAAATGGTTAAATCCTTAATAAAAAAAAAACCAATCCTCTTAAATGTCTTATAAATAACTCTCCAAACATATATTACCATCTGCTGCAGGATGCCGCTACCTGAGTTTCCCAGGTTCCTTATCCCAGAGAACTACCGAAGAGTCCTCCCAACCCCGTGGCTACTTGCGTTGCTATGGAGGAGGTCGTGGAGACTGCTGGCCCATCTATCTGCCATTCCTGAACAGATTTGGCTTTAGAAGGAAAACCCAAAACACCTCTTTGGCAAAAGGCAAGTACATGAACCTTTCAAAATGCCGATCTCTTGAACCGTTTACTCAGAAGAGTGTTCTAAGGGCCTGCGGCTGTGAGGCCAGGCAGGGAATCAGAGCCCACCCTGCCTGGAACCCAGACCTTGGTTGTCAGGGAATGCCGAGCGACAGGACCCCCTAGTGGAGCCAGGGCCTCTAGGCACAGTGACCCTAGATGCTCAGGCTCCTGGCTGGAGGCTGGGCCCCACTGTGCCCTCTTCACTTCTGAGTGGAAGAGAGTGAGCACTCAGAGGCAGCAAGGAAGCGAAGGCCGGGTTCCCTAGGGGGACAGGAAGCACCAATGAGGAACACAGCTGGCAGCAGTGAAGTAAGCAGTCTCAGGAGGCCGAGGGTGACAGCACAGAGGAAGAGACAGATCCCACACTGAGATCACCGCACCGGGATCCTGGGAGGAAGGAGACGTGACACAGGACAGCCATCCTAGTGGAGCAGCACGCAGCCCCCACCTCCCTGCAGCCCAGTGCACACCTTCCCTGTGCTCAGCAGAGACCGCACCAGTGGCTCTGCAAACCAGAAACCACGCCAGCCAGCCTGGACCACAGCCCAGTCAGCTTGTGTGTGGCCCAGGACGGGAGCCGCTCCAGCCAGGTGCCTCTGGGGATGTGACACTCTGCCCTCGGGTCCAACTCTGGAAGGAGCAGCCAGGAGGAGACAACAGAGAGCCCGAACACCCAGGAGGAATCTGGGGACACGCTGAAAACCAGCTACAAAACCTCGCAAACAAGCAAAGGATGGTTGGCTAGAAAAGCTACCAAGGAGCCCACTAAATCAACACCTTTGTTATCACAGCTCCAAGCAACTGGCACGGTTTTTCCAGTTTCTTAAGTCACAGATCACACAGGAGGGGACTTCTAACCCCGTGAGTGGGGACCCACGACCCCTGCATGCTCACTGTCACTGGCCGTGACCTTGCGAACACTGGTTTGAGTGAGAATCCAGTGCAGGGCACGGTGTCCCTAGCTGGAGAACAGGCGGGCTCCACCACGCTGTGCGCAGGAAGCCACTAGAGCAGCCTGTCACTGGCAATTCCCTGAGCTGCTTTCTGCAGGGGAGACGGGCCCAGGGCATGTGGCTGTTACCTGGGCCGCGAGACCCAGTGAGGAGGACCAATCAAGGCCTCTGCTGGACCTAGGCAGGGGGACGGTGCCACTGCTCACTGTGCCCAGCTCCTCGTCCGGGTTCCCTAAAGGGAACTTCAGTGCCCACCCACACAACAGCAGGTGGGGCCCAGTTCTGCCCAGCTGGTACCAAGAGCTCAGAGCAGACGTCCAGGCTGCGTGCCACAGAAGTGTCCCCAGGATGGTCCCCAGCGCTGGCCCGGGCCCAGCAGACCCCTCCTGCTGTGGGCCCCTCCCCACCTGAGGACAAGGATCCTGGGCACACACGTCCTAGGTGGCTGCTGGCGTCCTTCTCCAAGGCCCCTCCACAGACTGGCACTCCTCGCTGGCAGCTCCAACACCCCCAAGAACCCATCCCCCTTCCACCAGTGTGCTCCCGTCACAGCAGCTGCCCACCCCACAGCCCCACCTACAGACTGGCTGGGGACCCTCGTGTCGCTCCAAAGAACCCACAGTGGGCATTAGCAGGGTGGCCAGGGACTGACCTGGGAGCCAAAGCTCCCTGCTTCTTCATGGGCCCAGAAGCGCTGCCCCGCACCTAGGGGCCCCCAGAGCACTACTGTGACAGCAAATCCAAGAAGGACCTGTGGCCTTCGCTGTGGCGCAGAGCAAACGAGCGACCACGCCCAGATAAGCACCATTCCTACTGCCAAGGGGAGGGCGGAGATGGGGGTGCCCACGTGCAAGAGACAGGGAAAGAGTTGTGCTTTTCACATTCTGATGAGGCTGCCGGGCCGTGAAGGAGGCGGGCAAGCAGGAGGCTGCGATGTCCAGCACCGCACCCAAAGGTGCTCCAGGGGAGCTGGAGGCAGCTGTTCCCTCTGGGCCCCATAAATACTGGGGGGGTCTCAGCAGGGAGAGCATGGAGCCGGCCGGGTTCTTGGGGCCAGGACTCAGAGTTTGTGTTTCTCTGGTACCAAGGTGCGAATGCCAGGCCACGTGAGGTGATCTTACCCCCGTGAGAAGATGCGAGCCCCAGATTCTGGTTAGGTAGAGACGCACCCAAGGAAAACAGTAACACAAGTTCTACCTGGGTCCTGGGGGAAGACATCAAGATACATATGTATATCCCAAGATCCCAACGCTGGACGAACATTTCAATTCCTTTAGACAAATAGTAATTTCTTATCAATGTGTGAATTAAAAAGCAAATCAGGATATACTCTGTCTCCTGAGGGCTTTTTGAGACACACTTAAGTCAGGCAAGAGGGGCCAGCTCTTCCTGGGGCCCAGGAGCCGCTGAAAGCCTTGGTGTGCCTGTCAGGAGGACAGGCCACTTGGTCACACGGAGAACTGCCGAGAGGGGCAGCAGAGAGGCGCCACCAGCGTCCACAGGTAGAGCAGCACACACGTCCAGCATGAGGCCATCTTCACCCAGAAGATGGACCAGCTCTCCCGGAACAAGGTGTGGATGCTGGCGCTCTCGTAGCTGTGGGGACAGAGTGGCCAGCACGGTCAGAGTAGGGCTTGGGAGGGAGCCTTTTTTTCTCAAGGTTTAATGGCAAAAGAAATCACCTGCACCCAAAAATACATGACTCCATGGCTGATGACCGCCGCGGCCTCTTCAGAACACACACTGGCCCAGACCTCACCCCCTGCACTGCCCTCCAGGTCCCCTGCCCGGCACCTCCACAACCCGTGCCCTTTCCGTCCACACTGGGCACCTGCTCTGCACGGTTTGGACCCACAGCAATGCATCCTCTCTCAACCAACTGTCCTTTCAACGTGGCACGGCGTTCTCCAGCCCCTGCTGTGCTGACGCACAAATCGGCACAGGGTAAGGACCCCGTGACCAGGATGCCTGGGACCAGTTCTTGAGTTTGGAACATCTGCACAGACCTTACCAGTTGCACGTTCCTCACCCATAAAAGCCGAACCTGAACTATTCCAAACTGGGAAGCTTTTGACTGGCACATCAGATTTCTAAACCTGTGGGGTTTCTGGGTTAAGGCAACCCCACCTGTACATCATTGCTTTTCATTGCTAAGTAATATGTCATTTTACGGCTTCAGGACATGTGCTTTACGCATCCTGTCAGCTACAGGCATTTGGGTTTTTCTGACTCTGGCTATGAGGAATGATGCTCCCCAAACAGTGTCTGAGGTTGTGTGTGGATACATTTTTCTTTTCGTCTTGGGTAAACACTTCGGAGCACAGCCCCTGGCTCCTCACTGCTTCACCATTTAAGGATCTGCCAAGCTGTTTTCCAAAGCAGCTTCCTCCGTCCACCTTCCCCCAGCATGGACGGGGTCCCGACTTCTCTGCATCCTGGACAACCCTTGTCCCTGTCTGGCTTTGAGCCAGGGCTCCATGTCCTCTCTGAAGCTCCCCAAGCCCAGACTCCTCTGGAGTTCTCCAGGCCCCACAGGAAGCCTGGCAAGTCCTCCTTCTCCTCCTTCAGGGAAGGATCCAGGCAATGGAATTGCCACCTCCCACCCCCATCTTATTTTTCTCCCCAGTCGTCCCCGTCCAACACATTCGCTGCCTCTCCCACCACACTACCGACTGCCGCCTGCTACAGGAGACCCTGACGAGACGGCCCGGGAGCCCGTCTGTCCTAAGCCGTCGTCGCACAGGTCAGGGTGCGGGTGACACTGTGGCTCTGCAGAGAAGGGTAAACTCCATCTTCTGTGGGAGCAGAGGCACCTCGAGGCCGATCGTCAAGGGAGAAGAATCGAATGTGCAAGCCTGTGTCGCAGGGTTTCAGGTGCGAAGGTATAAAGAGCAAAACAGCAGCCAGCAGGAAGCGGGGAGAGAGATTTCTTGCAAGAGGGAAAGGGATAAGAGAGCGGGGAGAAGAGCAGGAAGGAAGGGGGTGCGCACGTGAAAGAAATGACGGAATGAAGGCGTCACACACAGACGCACGCACGCTAACGCCCCACCAGGAGCGGATGGCAGGCACGGCCAGCATGGGCTGGGAAAAGTTTCTTAAAAAGGAAGGGAACCTTGGCTCTGTACAAAAAGTACGAATCTATAAGGCACACATATACAAATACCGAATAGTAGCTCTGGTGTGAAAAACTATAACAGTACTCAAGATCCTAATGGGACACTCAGCAAACAGGAAGAAAAGGACCAAAGGTGTAGGGACAGTGAGAAGGACAGGGAAGTTCAGAACCAAGACCTGTCATGTAAAGGTACAAGATCCCAGTAATGAATGTAACTGTGCTGTCTACCTAGAATGTACCAATAAATTAAATTAAAAAAAAAAAGTACGGATCTGCCCAGAGGGATGGGAAAGTCAGGTCTGTTGTGTGCAGCCAACTTAAAAAGCGAAAAGGGGCTGGCTGGTGTTGGCTGAGTGGGCAGCGCATGCCCAGCACACACGGGCCCTGGTGTGGTCCACACACTCAAAAGTCACAAAAAGGGAACACAAAAATATTTTTCTTTCTTGGAAAGGGTTACTTTTCCTCCACTACTACCACTGTGCTTTCCAGGCTGCCATGCAGGCTTAACGAGGCATTTATCACTCTGTCCACCTCGTTCTTGGCACTGTCGCTGTACCCGTTTTGCAAGCTGCAGTGAGCACCATGGGATTCCAGGGTGAGGATGCCCTCAGTTGAGAGGCAATCACTGAAGCCAGCTACTCAGGAGGCTGAGGCAGGAGAATCCTGAGTTGGAGGACAGCCTGGTCTAAATACTAAAACCACATCTCAAAAACAAAAGAAAATGACAAAAATCAAGGAAAGAACTATGGTGGGAGCTGGGTATGGTGGTGGACACCTACAAACAGCTACTGAGCAAGCTGAGGCAGGAGGATCTCAAGTTCAAGGCCAGCCTGGGCAACTTAGCAAGCTCCTAGGTCAAAACAGAAAAATAAATAAAAAGGGCTGAGGATACAGCTCAGTACCCCGGGTTCATTTCAACAATGCAAACACACACACAGCGGCCGGAGTGTGCACTGCAGAGGCTGAGTGTGGGCAGCAGGCCTGGCCAAGAGCTCGACACTCGGGGTCCCCACTCCCGAGGGCACTCACTGGAACCAGTTGGTGAGGGTCATCATCACGTACAGCGAGGCCAGCAGGAAGACGGCGTGGAAGTAGGAGTAGCTGTACACCGTGCCCCGTTTTTCATCATGGAGGACGCGCCGGTGCCCCTTCCTGGCCGGCTGCTCCTCGGGGTCTGAGGGTCACAGAGCCCCGTGAGTGCACGTGCACGGCACACACCCCATGCACACCCGCACTCACCCTGGCCCCGCACAAACCCCCACTCACCCTCGACCACGTCGTTGCCAAAGCAGAAGCAGCAGCGGGCCACCTGCGAGGAGGGAGGGGCGGTCAGACGCAGCGGCCCAAAGGACGGGGCACTCGGACATGGGCCGCACTCCAGCCGTGGCCTCCAGCAGGGAGGACAGCAGCCTGCTGGGAGAGGCCCTTGCTGGACATGGGCAGTGTGACCCCTGCTTGTCCTGCGAGTGGCGAAGGGCGGGGACCAGACCACAGGAAGAGCCCGTGTGCTGCGCTCTCCCGGGTTGGGCTGAGCCTGTCCCGGCCGCCTCCGCCGGCTGAGGCCCCTGTGACAGTGGTGCTAACTCAGCCCACAGGCTTCACAGTGGGAAAAGAGGGCATTGTGCTGACAGCAGGCCCCTGCTGGCCACCCGTTCTCTGGACTCATACCTGCTGCCCATCCCTGTCAGCTGGTCCTGGCGACTGGCCCCGAGGCCTTGGCAAAGAGCTGCGCCCCGGCCCTATTTTATTCTTTGAGACAGGGTCTTGGAGGACCACCAAGGCACCCAGGCTGGGCTCCAGTTTGTGATCCTCCTGCCTCAGACTCCCAAAGTCCTGGGGCTACAGGTGCGGCCACCACACCTGGCTGTCCACACTCTACAGGCCTGCGTCACCTGACGGGAGGGTGCACATGGGCTTTAACACCGCCGCCTGCACGGGGTCTGGCCCCACTAGCAGAGCGTCTGTCACAGACCACACAGCTGCAGGCATCAGACAGACGTGTGGGCTGCAAGTTAAAGAAAAAAGAGGAAACCCTGCATTCCATGCTGATGAGCACAGGATCACGACAGGAGCAACACAGGCAGCCGTGGGGGCAGCAGGACCAGCAAGGGGACGCAGCTGACTGGAAATCAAGGTGACTCCAGCTGACCCGTGCTACACACAGGATCATTTCCTTTCCTCTGCCTAAACCTCACGCTGCTGAAGCAGGCAGGGGAATGGAGGAGACGCCCTCGGACAGGCGCAGCGGCCCCGAGAAGTGGGCAGAAGGGAAAGAGCCCTCACCTCCAGCTCCGGGGCTGCGTATCGGCCCTGCAGGGCATCTGAACTCGATCTGGTCGTGGACGTCAAGCTAGAAAACAAACAGGAAGTCAGCCAGGCACATTACCACGTCCGGTGGCCTGGGACACAGGTGCAGCCATTGCCCGGCCAGGCTCCGGGGACAGCTCAAGAGAGCCTGTGGTGCGGGCTGCTGGAATAGGACTGTGTGCCCTCCTGTCCACGCCTGCAGGGTTAATCCACTGTGAATCAAAAGCATCTACCAATGGGCGAATGAAGAAAATGTGGTGGCCTGGCCGTGGAGTACTATTCTGCCATGAAGAAGGAAGGCTTGAGTCATGCATAGGTAAATGGATGCCTCTTGATCTCACGATGCTAAGTGAAAGAAGTCAGACACACAGCTTAAACATCACAGTTTCTCTTAATGAGAAACCCAACATACTAACAATCTGAAAAGCAAAATAAAAGACAGATAGTAGGAATCAGGGAAGTAGATCTTTCGCTAATGAGAAGAGGACCAAGAACGAGATGGAGGGCGAGGAGAGGAAAGGCAAGTGGACATGAAAAGAATCAAAACATGCTCTGTCCATAAAGCAACTCCCGACGATGAATGTGATCATTATGTTCTGCAGACACGGATTGATAAAAATGTTAAGATGGAAAAGTAAAGAGAACTTGAAAAAACATGTTTATGTCTATGTATGTGCCTTTTCCTCCCCGTCCTTCCCCCTAAACATGGCATGACAAGTATTTACACGGCATTCACACTGGATCGGTATCACGAAGTAACCCAGAGGTGACTCGGAGGCGTGTCGTTCCGCTCCACGAGCCTGTGCGGGCTGACGGCCACCTAGCTGGTGCCTCTCTGCGGATTGCGTTCCGTCACTTGGTGTCTAAAGAGACACCAAGTAGACAGAAATAAGAGGTCCTGGTCCCATCTTGCCCAGTGAGCCATCTGGCGAGAGCCTGGGAGGGCAGCGGAAAACAAAGCCAAAGCCATCCCTGTGCGTGTGGAACAGACACGGCGCGTGCCTGAGAAAATCCTTCCCATAGTTTCTGTCACGCCCTTGAAGGTAAAACGCCGTGGGACTTGGGTTAGGGGTAAAGGAGGGGAAAGTATTTACAGGTACGAGTGTGAGAAACAGGCTTCGGATTCAGCCAGTGAATCCATAGGTCAGCTGCCTCCCCTGCGTCAGGAATAAACCAGAAAACCCTCCTCGGTCCTGCGCCTGCTCCTAGGCTCACACCTTCTGCAGAAGGAAATTTTAACCCTGCCTTGTCCGGGCCTCTTGCCTCGTGTCTGTGTGCCTTCTTTCCAGCACTGACCACTTGAGTCTGGGGGTTATTTCCAACCTGGCCAAAATATATGGAGAATGTTTAAATTCTAAAAACTGATTACAGTAAAAGACATTGCCACGAATCCCCTCAAAATCCTCCCCCTCACCTTGCACACACTCACCCCATCATTCCTGCCACCTCCTGCAACACCTCTGCAAGTTTCCATCTTTCCCGAGTGTCTTTATGAGGGGTGATCAGAAATATAGTGGACGCCGCTGCTGAGCGCCCTCCAGTGGAAAGGCAGCTCCTAGCAACAGGACGCTGGGTCCTCGTCCACTTTATTCTCCAGATCTAACACTAAAGCTGCTCATCGTTGAAATGACTAAGAAAGGGAAACATTTTGAATGGATTCAAGACACTGAGGCAGCGCAGCTCAAGACCCTCAGGAAAGGGGACTCCAGAGCCGCTGCAGAAAGCGGCAAGGATGGTGAGAGCAGTGTGCTGGAAGGGAAGGGTGGACTTTGAGGGGATTCGTGGCAATGTGTACTTTACAGTGATTATTTTTTAAAAAACTTTAAACATTCCCCATATTTTTCATCACACCTCCTATTTTTCCTAAAAACAACCATTGTATGAAAACGGAAATGTCTGAACACTCAGGATTCCAGCTAACTCTACAGATCCACTCTGCAAATATCTCCTGGAAACCCTAAGCCAGGCTGTGTGCAGGGCACGGGACGCAGCAGCGAGAAAGGCCAGGATCCCACCGCACCCTGGCCCTGCAAGCAGCTGGGACAGCATGAGCTCAGCGCCCCACAGCACCGGACCTGGTACACACGATGATGCTTGCATCAGAGGGCACTGAGGTGGGAAAGAGTTTGTCTCACATCTGAAACACACGTGCACGTGTAAACATGCCTGCATCCAGTTCAGCCTGCGTGACCTGACTTCCGGAGGAAACACCACTGCCGCAGGGCCAGGCCCGTGCTCAGCTTTCCCCGAAACCCACTCTCCCACAAGCACCTGAGCATCGGAGATTTTCCCAGTGCACAGGCTACAACACAGACCTGTCCATGGGGCTATGAAACTGTTTCCAGGTGCCTTCAAACTCCCCTGTCCTGGGCTAAGGTCGGTATGATGTGAAGCCAGCACTTCCTGCAGGGACCCCTAATGGCATGGGGTCCAGGATTTCTGATCTGTGCCTCCCACAGACCCACGCGTGCATGCAGCCCTGGGACATCCCAAACTGGGGTGGTGCCTGCCCTCTCCCACATTGAAGGGCACACAGTGCCCCTCAGCATCTGCTCCCCATGACAGAAACTCTCTGAAGAACGCATCCGAGCTTCTATAGAATCATAGGTCCCTCTACCCTCAGCCTGCGTGTGACAAGGCGCATTCAGGTCCACCCTGTCCTATGTAACGGGTGACTCGTGGCTCCAAATGGGACCCCATGTGTGGTGAGAGCTGGGGAGGAGAGGCCACTCTGCCCTGGAGGCAGAGACAGGAAGACTTCTAGTGGGCAGGCTCAGAGCACAGCAGGAGAATAAAATCCTCCCTGATTTCCTCCCCGGTGACACTTACCAGCCTCGTACCACGAGGTCTGCTTGATTGTGGTGAATGTCCCATTTCCAACTAGGAAGCGGCTCAACATTTAATAGAGTCTTAGCTTTTCCAATTTTGTCTTCCAGGCATATTTTCCTAGATGGCTCAAACACAAAAGGGCTATTTTTTTTCTCAACTAAAACTGAGAGCCAGGAAACATTTCACAACACCATTCTCCTAATAATATAACTCCTCCTCCTACTTTCTGCACAGTCCTGGGCTTCCTGCAACTTCCAGGGAGAGCTCCAGGCACTGCGGCGATCGGGCAGCTGGCCATGTCCTCCTCCCGGGCAGCAGGATGGCGCTCCATGCCATCGCAGGGACAGGCAGAGAAAAAGACGACTCACAGGTCTCCCACACGCTCAGCCAGGGAGACCCCAAGAAAGGTCTCTCAAAACTGGGTAAAGAGCCACCGAAAGATAGGTAAACACTTAAACTTTTTAAAAACATATTACAGCAAAAGACACATTCCCAAGCATGGTGGGATAATTGGTTCAAAGTGAGTATTCCAAATATTATGAAGGGGACTAGTAGCAACATGTCTTTCACAACTATAGCACTTTTAAAAATTTAGATAGTCACTGTATTTTTGATTACCCTCTGGTCAACCATCGATTGCTATTTCTGTCAATGAAAAACACACGCTGGGTCCTCATCCACCTCACTCTAGGGACCTGGCACCATGCAAGTCCCAGCTCTTCCCCAGAGTCACAACGACCATGACGGGAAACACTTGACTGCAGCCAGGCCAGAGGCGGTGGTCACAGGGAACAGCCCCCAGACCCCAGTCCTGCCTGAGTGAGTGACGGCGCCTTCACCATGCCGCTATCTTGCGCCACCTTGGTCCCTGGGCCACTGACGTCATCCACGTCGGCCTCGGGCAGACCAAACTGTGACCGCTGACATCTCGGGGGACATCGGGCTGGCTTGGGCCAGCCAAGATGCTGAAAGAGCTGACACTCCCTTTATGGCCTCTGAGCCGGGGGTGGACGTGGGGTGACGCAGCAGTGAGCCCCGCCCCGCTGGAAACCGCAGGTCTGTGAAAATGCCACGCTCAGGTCGTCTCCCACGGCAGTACCACACCGCACACTCCCACAGATGGGCCCCACACATCCACAGCCAACTCTGCCCTCGTTTTCCTGGGTAGCCACAACCCTCTGAAAACATGACTTTACTGTCAAATACCTTTTCATACATTTTTCTGGTAATACAAAGATGAAAGATGAAGTGCTATTCCATCACAAAAAAAACCATTTGTCAAGAATAAAAAGAGGAAAACATCAGTTACACCACTAGTATGACCAGTTTGGTTTGTCTCTTTCCTGGATGTGTTTATGTACATACAAACTATATTTAACTTTTTAAATGGAGTAATTCTCTACATGCAGTTCTGTGGCCTTCTCTGCCCCCTTGATTTATGAACACTTCTCACGTCACTGCGGAAATCACCTGAGGGACAATCGCGAAATCAGCCTGCACGGCTGCCCTCTTCCCTGAAGCACAGCAGCAGCCGACTCCGGAAGGCAGAGAAAAACTGGAACAGAGCGCAGCCTGGTCAAAATACCGAGCGCTGTGCCGTAAACCTATGGCATGTAAACTGTATCTCAATAAAAAAGGACTCTAAGTGTTGGGGGTGGCTAAGAATCGGGAGTCCACAGACAGCAACACTCAGCGAGTAATTCACGGGACCTTTAAAACTGAGAGGTCAGAACGTGGCCGTCACCATCACAGTCCCTTCGGCTCCAACCGGGAGGCTGAGACGCGAAGCTGGGGCCGATGTCAGACAACTACGATCCTCCCTCTTCCTGGCCGGGCCCATAACCGCGCAAACCGGCTCAGGTGCATCCCGGGCAGCCCCGCCTAGCAGCGCGGGCTGGGGAAAGACCTCTCCCGTACAGGGCCGCCGGCCAGGACACTAAGATTCAGCAGAGGGAGGGTTTCCGGTCCTGAGTCGAGACGCAGAAAACCCAGACAGAGCGCCTAACTGAAATGGGGCTTCTTCAAGAGCAGCTGGTTTTTAGTGAAATGTGCACCCGGAGAAAGCAGCTAACCACGTCCGTCCTCGCCTTCGCTTGGCAGCAGCTCTGAACCTTGGGCGAGCACAGAGGCTCGGGGGTCTCTGACCAACGCACTGCCGGCTCCCCGGCACAGGGGCTTCCTGTCCGTCCGGCCAAGCTCTGCATTCCGGGCAGCACAGGGCGAACCCCGCCTCTGTGGATGGCGCTCCCGACCTCCTCCCCGCCAGCCGCGCTTGCGCCTCAGCCCAGACCCCTACTACCGGCGGCTACGCCCCTGCCTGCTCCTCGCCCGACTCACCACGAGTACAGGATGCAGGCGATGAGGAGTCCGGTGCCCAGCCAGGTCACCAGGTTCTCGTCTCGGAACAGGTTCTGGCCGAAGTGGGGTGTGCAGAGCGTCACGTTCTTCCCGTGCTCGTCGAGAACTTGGCAAGAGAACAAGCAGAGCTGTGAGAGAAGCCCACTGGACCCAGGGGCACTGCTCCGGGGAACTCGGCGGCCCTGGTGCTTCCTACAGCACCGCACCTGCAGCCGGAGACCGGGTTTTCCCGCTGAGAGTCCATGCAGACGCGGGTTCTCCCGGACCAGCACTCACTGGAAAAGGCCCTCATGTAGAAAACGGTAGAGAGAAGGCGAGAAGGCAAGAAGGGAAGCAGGGAGGGAGGGAGGAGGAGGGCTCAAGCCGGGCACAGTGGCACACACACCAGTCACCCCAGCGCTTAAACAGAGAGAAGCGGAGGCAGGAGGACCATCCCAAGTCTGCAGGAAGTCTGGGCTACAGTGAACCAAAAAAGAAAGCTTCATCTTGCAGTTTGGGCTAAAGCATGACCATGCCCGGACTTTCAGAGTGCTTTTACAGGGTTATTCAAACAATGTTAAAAAGAACAGCAGAGTCCACCTCTTGCTGGACTTCGCAGCCTCTGCAGGGAGGGATGAGTGCAGGGACCCCGAGTGCCGAGATCAGCCAACAACCACATGTAGGGGACTCCTCCTCCAGGCTCCGCAGCACCAACGGGCTGCCACGCTCTGGGAAGGCTGCGCGCAGAGGTTCTACAGTGCTGTATTATTTCTGTTGTGCTGTGATATATAATCGTATGTCTACAATATTATCACCAGTGGTAATTTATTTTTGGTCTAAAATGGTGTCTTTCTTCAATCTGGAACACCCCAGATAGGTCTGACTGCCAACCTGGCCCCAAAATAGGGAACATAAACATAAAATAACACCCGAGAAACCACTCAACAAACACGGATATTCTGTCTAAAAGTAAACTAAAATTATTACTAGTATTCACACTCGAATCACTAAATGCAGCTATATGATGTGGTTTTTAAAAGTAATCTTTGTTCTTAGGCCAAATGAAAAAATGTGAAAAATGAACAAAATGTGATTTTTCTATTTAAGCAGTACCACCTAAAACTAAAAATAAATGCTTTCCTGTTTTAAGTGATACTTGCTGTTAAAAAAAATACTATAAATAAAAGCTCCATTAAAGTTTAAACCACAGACTAATATATAAAGATAAAAGAAAGTCTTAAACAGATTGGATTTAGAAAGTCAAGACAGGGCTGTTTTTAAAAATTAAACCCAGGACAGGCTATACTTATTATACAACCTCCAAACTTATATCCCTTTCCATTATCAACAGCTCAAAAGGCAAGGCCCTGCCATAACAGTAGCACCTGCCTATGATCCCACACTCTGGGAGGCTGAGGGGAAGAAAAAAAGATGTTTTCGTCTTTTACTGGCAAGGCCTAGGGGCTCAGAATCACACCTTAGAGTAAAATTGTGGCTTTAATGTTTAAAACTCTTTTCAAATAATCACAGCAACTGTACAACAATGTCAGCTAACCCTCACATAGCACTGTGTGCCAGGACCTGCTCTCTTAAAACCATTCCAGCAGGGCTTGGGGTGCATGTCAGTAATCCTAGCACTCAGGAGGCTGAGGCAGGAGGATCACCATGACTTTGAGGCCTGCCTAGGCTACGTACTGAGTTCAAGGCCAGCCTGAACCACACAGCAAGATCCTGTCTATAAATAAATAAGTAAATAAAATCAAAGGCCCAGAGTCGATACCCAGGCAGACTGGCCCCAAACCATGTTCGCCATTTCTGTAAGTAACTGCCATTTAGGATGAGCAATTTGGGGGCCACCCAGCCAGCAAGAAGTGAGTCTGACTTGGAGTCCTGTGTGGGCGGCCTCCCCTTCCCTGTGTTCTTTCTACTTTCTCTGCTACATCCAAGGAATGACATCAAGATGAGTAACCAACGGGAAACTACAGCAAAACAAAGCCCCTGCCCACCAGGCAGGGACAGGCACTTGAGGGCTAGAAGCAAACCCCAGGCAAGAGCCCGAGGAAGGAGCCTCAGTCTCTCTCGCTCCAGCCAAAGACGGTGCTTTGGGCCCCTTCCCTCGGAGTCAGAGCCCCCCGCGTGTGCCCAGCCGCGGCTGCTCACCCACATCCTCAGGCTTGCTGGACAGCGCCGAGAGGGTGAGGTAGGTCACGTAGCAGCTGATGAGCCCAGACTGCAGCAGCCCGGAGTGTGGCTGTCCTGGGAGGCACACAGAGGAGAGGACAGCGTTCAGCCTCAGCGCGGGACACGGGCCCGAAGACACCAGCCCCATGCCTGCCACAGTTGCCCCCCTCAAACCACAGTTGCCCCCCTCAAACCGGGGCACCGCAGCACATTTCTTAAACAAAACTAAAACTAAGAGGGAGGGTGTTACACACTAGCTGAGTACTGCTATTTAGTTTGTTTCGTTTTGGTGGAGACAAGGTTGCACTATGTCATCCAGGCTGACCTTGAAATTGTGGCAATCCTCCTGACTCAGCCTCTCAGAGTGCTGAGATTACAGGTGTGCACCATCATGTCTGGCTATGTCCTACTGTTTTTTTCTTTTTTAAAAAAATTTTGGGGGGTATTGTGGATTGAACTCGGGACCTTGTGCTTGTGAGGAAGGCAGCAGGACCACTGAGCTAAATCCCCAGCCCCGTCCTACTCTTTTAGAGATGCCCCTTTCTGCCAACTTGTCCACCAATGCCTTATGAGATTACACGCGTTCCCTTGAGCTTTACATCAGCGCTTAAGCCACAGATCAGAAAAACATTTACCCATTCTTTCTCAAGGCTATGCAGCAGCAAGGGTAAACGATGAGGCAGATTACTTACAACTCGGGGCAGCACGGAAAATGGACAAGGCCACCTTTGCATAAACTAAGTGTCAGAGCCGTTCCAGGACACAGGGAAAGGTACAGTGCTCAGGATTCATTGGGAGGGCTTTAAATTTACAATATCTAAATTAAATGAGTGGAAGAAACCCATTCAGAGGAACCAGGACATAAGGGATTTCTCTCCTTTCAGTGAAACTTCTTTTGTTCTTTCTTTCTTTGTTGTTTTTTTGAGACAGGGTCTCACTATGTAGCTCAGGCTGGTCTTGAACTCACTGCTATCCTCCTGCCTCAGCCCCCTGAGCTCTGGGATTACAGGCCTGTGCAACCATGCCCGGTTTAGTGATAGTTGTAACCACCTGACCAACTACGTGAAAGGACTCAGTCTTCCTTCCTGGTTAATTTGTTTCCAAAATTGCTGCCTGCCTCGCAAGCACAAGGACCAGAGTTCAATCCCTGGTACAAAACAAAACAAAACAAAACAAAAACTACCAAATTACCATTATGAGATTACAATCACCTATAAAAGTCTATGAACAGAATCTTATAATGCACAAAAGACCAACCTTAGCATGTTAAGGGCACTAAAACAAACATTTTAAAACATGATACTTAGTTCTCCAAGGAGGACCTGACCCAAAGGAGATTTTAACCTGAATACCAGTAGTATCTCAGGAAATCCTAACTGACAGCTAAAGGGTGGGAGGACACTGTCTCGGTCTCAACAGTGGGATGAAACCTTTAGATCTGCAAATGTCCTGGTCCTACAGAGGCTGTGATGTCACGGTCCCACTGCCGAGGGCTCTGAACCTCCGGGGCCCATCACGGCTGTCCCACCTCGGGGGCTGCTGAAGCAGTTTCAGAAAGGCTTCCGGGGGCTGCTTTTGTGTCGCCGTGTTTTCCTGTCCCTACCTAGAAACCCGAATGTCGTGCACATGGGAATCCCTACACAGCAGGACACGTCAGACCTGGACACGCGCTCCCCGGCTAAGCAGCAGCATGGGCGGAGACACTGAGGTCACTTCTCCGGCCAGGCACAGCCCTGCTTTCCAGCGCATCAGGCCCCGGTCGCTTCCTCCCTGGCTTTGGAACGATTGTGAGCAAGGCCAGCGTGGCCTGCGTGGGAAGAGCCTGGCCACTGCAGCTGGCTTCCTGCTTCCTGTCCCCAGGCCTCGGCGCTGTCCTCAAGCTGGGTCCGGCCCAGCACAGCGCCCCCCAGAGCCAGCTCTTCCAGTGCCGCCTGGAGACCCAGGTCGAGTGTGTCCACGCCTTGCTGGGCGCTGCGCCCAGCTCTCCCTGTCACGGCCTAGTTTGGTGCAGGGATTTCTGGGCCTCAGCACACGTGGCCATCACCCCCGCCGCAGGCCCAAGTGTGACCATCACTTCCAAAGGAAGCAACCAGACACTAGAGTCCCGCGGGTACGTGAGGGGCCCGGGGTGCTTACGGTTCTGGACGCAGGGGGAGATGGCAGCCACCGAGATCAGCAGGCACAGGCCTCCATTCACGCCCAGGAAGATCTTGTTCTGAGTGCAGCCCTCGAGCTGGGTGTAAAACACCGCCATGAGCACCAGGCCTCCGGTGGCGATGGAGTACATGACCAGAGTGACCAGTGACAGAGACGCGTACCACAGCTTGTTGGTGGCGGTGCCAGCCATCCTGTTCACCGGGCATCAGAGGAGGACAGAGGAGAGAGAAGACAAGGATGAGTCAGAGCTGCCTCGGATCTGGCGCCCTCAGTTTCCGGAGCTCATCTCCCTGCCTCGAGACGAGTGGACACCCACGGGCACTCTTCTAACTCCCTGCTCGGCTCGCGAAGCCTGGGGGACAGGGCCTGCCGTCCTGGACAGAGAAGCAAGAACTCAACCAGAGCAGGCTCAAGCTTCTCTCCCTGCACGGAGGGTGGCTGCATAAGCCCGACTCTCCAAAATCACACCTTCTGTTTGTTTGTTTTGGTTTTTTTCTTTTGAGGCAGAGTCTCCCTGTGCAGTGCAGGCTGGCCTTGAACTCACTATGTGGCCTAGGCTGGCTCTGAACTCACAGTGATCCTCCTGACTCAGCCTCCTGAGGGCTGGGATTACCACCATGAACCACCATACCTGGCCATATCAGGAAATCTTGAAAAAGAACTGCACATTAAAAAATAGAAATCCAGGGGAGGAAGGGGGAGTAAAAGGACTAAAGTGTGATAAGTACTGGTACCAATTCCCAAAATGCCTGTAATTATTCCAGATCACAAACATTCACTGCTAATAAAAAAATATTTAAAATTAAAAACAGGGAACACAATCAGGCCCAGAAACATGGTAATGGGGTGAGCCATAAAGAAACTACAGGAAGAGATTAAGTGCTTTCTAATTTATAGACATTAACAGAGGGATGGGAAGGGGGTCTGGGTCCCCATCATCTGCTTCGGGATCAGGGTCCCTTTGGGACCTCAGCCCCAAACCTGCACAACAGAGAAGACGCCTGGCCCCGAGTCCCCAGAAGCAAGAAGCAATCACACACCCAGTGCTACTGTCTCCAAGATGGACAGCACCACTGCCGGAGATCAGGAAGGAGGAGCAGCCGCCAGGGTGACGCCTACCGACTGCTGTGTCCCTGAAGCCCGCCAGGCCCCCCGCTGGCCACAGGATCTTTTAAATGAAAGGCACATGAAGAAAACTCGAGAAAATGAGACTCCTAACAGGCGGGGAAAGCCTGGAGCAAATGTCCCTCAGAGACAGGACACAGGCACTGCACAGGGAGAGAGCCGTGCCCCCTCTGGTCATCAAGCCCAACTGCAGATGAGACCACATCCTGCCCTAACCCTGAGCCGGCACCATCCTGCTGCACGGCCAGCACGCTCTGCCCTTCCTCCTCCCGCAGCCCGTGAGCCGGAGCCCAGGTGAGCCCACCCCTGGCCCAACCCCAGAGGACGGTGGCAGCCTCCTGGGCTCTTCGGGGACTTGTCCGGCCCTGAACCCATGGCAGGTTTGTGTGACTTGGTGCTGATTACCCGTCCCCCTTCTGGGAAGAGCGGACACCTAAGGGCAGTGTGGTGCGTTCCCTGCCAGACTGCCGCTGGCAGGAAGGGCACAAAGAAAATCGGAAAACACGGTGAATGTTTAAATTACAAAAAATGTGTTACAGTCAAAAACACATCGCCACAAGTCCCTGAAAACCCTCCCCTCACTTGGAACGCACGCAACCCATCATCACCCCCACTCTGGAGTCCTCTTCCCTGAGTGTCTTCAGCTGCGCTGTCCTGGCTGCTTCCATGTCCTGAACTGTTCAAAACATTTCCCTTTCCTGGTCATTCTGACTCTGAATAAGAGCCAGAAGTCACCCGGTGCCAGAGCTGTGACTAAGGCGGATGAGGACACAGCGTCGCGCTTTTTACGAGCCGCCTTTCCGTTGGGTATGTTTGATCATGAAACTTAAAGACCATCAGGAAAGAGGACTCCAGGGCTGCTGCAGAAGTGGCAGGGACGATGGGATGAGGGTGCTCAGAGCCAGAGGAGGACTTGAGGGGGATCCATGGCGCTGTGCCTTCAACCACAGTAACTGTTTCCTGTCAACATTCGCCGTATTTCCCGACCCCCTCTTCGTAGCTCCCTGCACACCTGTGTGGAGGTTGGCACCTGGCCACAGATCACATGAGCAGAGGCGGCTGCTCCTGCTGCTCTGCCTCCACCCAGCCCCTTGCTGACATCCCGGTTTTGGGGACAGCCCAACTATGCACCAAGTAAACTAAGATAAACTAAGTAAAGTTTATCTTTACAGTGTGTGCCAGCCAGAGGTAATGCTACTCCACAAAGTGTGCAGTGCAAACCAGAGAGGGCAGGGCAGCCAGGCGGGCGGAGGCGGTGGGCACAGCAGGGTGTGGGCACCGGGCTGAGCCTGGGGCAGCCAACTGAGTGTAGATTCGGACATGGTTAGAACATGGGCTTGCATTAGAGACATCCAAGTACACCATCTACGTCCTGTTACTTCCTCTCTGGTGCAGAACTGATGCGTCCATCACAGAATTTGTGCTCAGAAGGGAAAACAAAACACCATTACACATGTGGTCCAGCCGACCACGCCACTGTGCAGTGGGAAAACCACACTGGGGCAGCCGGAAGGGACATCACAAGCTAGGGCTGAGGTCACCAACACCACCTCTCCTCTATCCCTGGCATTTCATCCCACGGCTCTGGGGTCATCTTGAAAAGAAAACCGGAAAGGGGAAGAGAAAGGACTTTGGCCGGTCCCTCAGGAGCAGTGAGCACACTTTCTAGATGAACCCTGTGAGTAAGAATCGCTGCTTTCCAAAAAACCCACCAATCAGATGAATCTAAAAGAAAGTAAGTACCCATGAGCCACGTGCAGGCAGACCAGCCACAGACTGCTGCCCAAAGAGCCTCTGCTCCGGAGGGCAGCAGCGGCATCTGTGGCACAGCTCCGTGGCCACAGCTGCTGAGCCATTTTGAGAAAGCTTTTAAAGCAACTGAATTCTCCCGGGCACCTCCGCAACTTGGCCTCAGCAGTTCGTCCCAGACAACACTTCAGGAGCAGCCTTGGCATCAGAGGCGGAGGGCAGGAGCCCACGGCCCCAGGGACCAGCCACGGAACCTAGTATGGGTAGTGACCGGAAGCAGCCGACCTGGCACCCACTCTGAAAGGCTCACAACGGAGCGTTTACTTCTCTAGACGCCAAAGTCACAGGGAAAGTACTCACAGGAGAGGGCAGTGTTCAACATGCATGGCTAAGCTACCGGGGTCATCTCTTCTGGACAAATCAAAAAGTAGGGTAGCACCAAACTCTTACTGTACACCCCGTCTATCTTTAAGAAAGCTGCTGGCTTAAAACAAGGCCCAGGAGAGACTGCAGCACCGATCACTGGGTTCCAGAGAGAGTGCTATACTGGAACGACCAGCCAGGAGGGACGGTGCACCTGCAGTTCTGGCGAGGGAGGCCTAAGCACAGAGACCTCGTCTCAAAATAGAAGTGTTTCTGTTTTTTCAAAGGGCTGGAGATGTAGATCAGTGTTAAGGCCATGGGTGTAACTTCTGGTGTCCAAAGCTGGGGAAAAAGCAGCACAACTCAATCCAGAAAGTCCACACTTTTGAGAGCACTAGTGCTGTTTTCACAGACTACTTCTGAAGATGTGGCAAACATTTTAAACATGTTGTATTTGGCTTTGCTTAGTCCGAGTAATAAAATGATGAACAATACTGTCTTTTACTCATGTAGCCCAGCAAATGCAACTGCATTTCACTATTAAGTCTTTTTTTAAAAAGCTGAAGCAAAGAACAAGTACCAAGCTGAAGAGTACAGTAAAAATAACAAGTACTGGGAAAATCTGGGCAGTGTTTTTTGTCTTAAAACCCACACCCCAATGGCACTACTGATTCTCTTTTCCAAAACTGAGAACAAAATGAAAGGACACCCATAAAATCCACAAAGACCAACGCTTCGGAGGCGCCACAGGGAATCACTACAAAGTGAAGGAAGGGACCGGAGCGGCTGTGCACTTAATCACGGAGTCCAACTGGCCAGAGAGCTGAGCGCCGTGGGCTTTCAGCAAGAACAATCAGCCGTCCATCAGCCTCTCCCACCCTCCTGGGACAGGAATTCTGCATGTAGAGTTTACCATTTCTCTTTCTGTCCATAGCTCTGGGGGGACTGAACCCAAGGCCTGCACACTGCACTGTGCTACATCCCCAGCTGGGTTTTTAAGTGTTTTTTGTTTTTTTTTAATTTTGAGACAGGGTCTCCCTAAGTCACTAAGTTACCCAGGATGGAAAGTTTCTATCCTCCTGCCTCAGCCTCCCAGAGCAGAGGTCACAGGTGTGGTTGCCACGTCCAGCTAAGATTTTATATTTTTAGTGTCAATATGGAAGGCTAAATTAGGACAATAGGTCTTCCTAGGGAACAGTTCTCTTCCTCCCTGAGAAGGTGAGATAAACACAAATAAATGCAAAAGAAGAGAACTATTCCATCTCACAATCTTTTTTTTCCCCACAGTACTGGGGATTAAACCTAGGGCCTTGCACATGCTAGGCAAGAACTCTACCACTAAGCTACATTCCCTGCCCATTTTTTCTTTTCAGTTTTGAGAAAGAGCCTCTCCCAGCTGCTCATGTTGGACTGAAATCAAATCCTCCCACCCCAGCCTCCCACGGATTACAGATGTGCATCTCCACGCCCAGCTCTATCTTACACTCTTTGTGCAAGAAGAATCTCCAAGTGTTTTAGCTTGTTTTGTTGTTTACCATTAAGCTTGCCAGGATGGGAGCCTCCAGCGAAGTCTGCCCTCACCCCTGTGCTGCAGCCCGCCAGATAGCACGTACCAGTTCTTGTTCCACTTGTGCGCAAACTCCACCATAAGCAGCAGCTGGATGACTAGGAAGATGAAGCCCCCGACGGCCCCCACATAGCGCCAGGCTGCACAGAAGAGGGAGGGCGAGGAACCAGTGTCACTGCACGCACAGCTCCCGTGGCACCGACTCCCACGCGGGTGCTCACTGTCAGGCTGGCTCCCATGACGGACGGTGGGATCCCAGTCTACACACAGGCTGCACAAGGCATGACTGGGATTCGAACCTGGGCCGTCTGGTGGGTAAGACCCAAGCCTGACCTGCATACCGGATATCCCAGCAGATGCAGGAAGTCACAGAATACACTGAGCCCTACAGTTCAAAGCCAAAACATGTATCTCTAGAAGTCACAGCTCAGATGGCCAGGGACGGAAGAGAATGCGATCCAGGCTGCAGGGCCTGGCTCCACACCACAGAGCAGGAATGCGGTGACTTGGGTCCCCGGGTTGCAACCTGGCCATAACAATGTCAGAGCCAGCTAAGGACTTCAGTTCTCATGGGGAACAGACCCGTCTTAATACTACCAAAGAGTCATAAATGTACCCCTGCAGAGAATGAAGAACTGGGTAACAGGTTACAGGTAAAAGCAAGGCCTGGGTGCAACGTTCTTATTGATCTGAGTCTTAACACTCATATGAAAAGCAGCCTGACAGCCTGACACTTCTCAGACCCTAATATGCGCTATTTGGGGAAAGATGGCTGTTTCTTTTTTAACACCTTAATTAGGGTCTGAAGAGAAAGATTGTTTGTTTGGGAGCGACCAGGGCCTGACTCACACCCAGTCCTGACATTGAACCTCGGGCTCTCCTCTCCTGTCCTAGCTCACTGGAAGAAGGCAGCCCTGTGTCAGGTAAGATCGGGGGGCTCTGTGATCAAGGAAAGCTGGTGACTGCAAACAGAGAACATGGGAGTGATCTCACGTCACCCGCACCACACAAAGGAGTTAGGTGAGCCGGGTGCCTCCCCACCCCATCCTCACCCTGGGCTGGGGGCTCAGACTGGCCAGACTTTGGAACAGCATGGAGCTTGTCTTCCTTCCAGCCCAGTAACCAAGCGAGCACAAGCAGGGAGGCTGGCGTGTGGGCAATGGGGCAGGGGCTTGGGGCCGGGAAGGCAGAACTCAGGATATTTTGTAGCCACAGAAAATTTGTGATTCAAGATACCAAAGACATCCAGACTATACTTTTTAACAGCTTTACAAAGGGTAAAAGCAGAATACACAGGGGCCCCCAGAGCCACAGCTGTACCTTCCAGAAAGGTTTTCTGGTCCGGAATGAAGAAGGCACCGGAGCACATGGCCGCCAGCAGCAGCAGCTTGAAGAACCAGAAGCTGGGAGGGAGGGAAGGCAGAGGAGATCACGTGAACAGCATTCCAGGGGACAAGGGAGCTCTTCAGGTCAGCGTGTCAGCCCCGATCCTGCCTTGGGTGACAATGTTCTCTCCGAATGGAGGGGAAGTAATTGAACGAGTGCAGACCCTAATCAAGGGACTTGGCTCAGCACGACTGTGTAAAAGAGCACTGCGCGGTGGGGCGGGAATGACCGGAGAGGTCCTGTTCCCAATCTGCCTGCCCCGAATCCATCACGGCCATCACGGCGGGGCCAGGTGTCTGGACCAGCAGCCTAGTCCTCAGGCCAGGGAAGGGCCACTCCCCACATTCAGCGCCCAGGCTTCCGCACAGGAAGGTCTGGCGAGGGGAGGGACGGACGCACCCATTGTGGATGTAGGCCCGACAGCCTTTGCTGGTGTTGATCCCCAAGGTGAGCAGGCAGAAGACGAAGAAGAAGCACGCCATGCCGAAGCAGACGCGGTACACCGCCGAGTAGCCCACCAGCTTCTCACACGTGTCGCCGGCCCGGATGCCCTTGCAGATGTCCTCAAAAAAGGGAATCTGCGGAAAAAGCAGCAGAAAGCTGTCTGAAAACCCGCCAGACACACCAGGAGCGCGCTTAAATATCACATGGCGTCTCTTACACGAGAAACCAAAGTATAAGCACACTGAAGAGTAAAATAAAGGACAGATACCGAGAAACACGGACGGGGGGCTCTTACAGAAGGGAAGTGGACAAGACACGAGGGACAGGGGATGGGGGAGAAGGAAGACGAGTTGTGGACACGCGCCAAGGCCCTGCGGGAGCGCAGCCATTATGCACTGCAGACGGGGGCCAATAGAAGTGAATATTTAAAACTATGCAATGAAAAAGTTGTCTGCTGAAAAACAAGCCACAGACTTGACGGAAACATTTGCAAATCATACACTGGATAAGGCAGTGGTATGTAAACTATTATGTAACTTTTAAAATTTTTAAAAATTCTAGATGAGAGGGGCTGTCACTCTGCCCAAAGTCAAAACCTACCTTGGAAGTAGATCAAGACTCTGCAGGGAAATCTACCTTCTAAAGACCTTCTCCTCATTTTCCCCGTTACTGAACACAACCTTTCTAAGCCTCTCCTTGCCTCCACGAGTTCCTGTGTTCATAACAGAATTCTGACTTCATTTGTAATACGTGGGCTGGTTCTTCTTTAAATTCATAAATATACAGAAAACAGAGACACTGTCTTCAGTATTACCCCAAACGTCACACCCCTCTTTGGGAGAGTCTCTGATTTGGCGGGTAGGAGATTTTCACTAATTTACATGTAACACACACACTCTATCATATGAACGGTAAATAAACACAAACAGCTTTTTAAAGTAAAGATTTGGGCTGGCATGTACCTTGGTGGTAGAGCACTTGCCTAGCCTGTGTGAGGCCCTGAATCCCCAGCACCCCCAAAACTTAACAAAGTAAAAGATGAGGCACAGTATTCTGTGCACTGTTTCCTCAAGTTAACAATAAGCCATGGAGATCTGTCCGTTAATACACAAAACCCCACCCTAATTTTTGATCACTACTCAACATTTTAAGATAAAGTGAGATCTCTCACCAGCACCCCAGCCTGAGAGTGACAGAATGGAAAACAGTTCTCAATGTGATAGGAGCACAGAAAAAAGCAGGGGTAGCTATCTTATTCAGAGACAAAGTAAATTTCAAACCAAACTGATTAAGAGAAACAAAGAAGGCCACTACATCCTTGTAAAGGGAACAATCCAAGAGGAAGAGATGACAATCATAAATATGTATGCACCAAATATTATTGCCCCCAGCTATATAAAACAAGTATTAGGGTTTGAAAAACCAAATAAGCACTGATACAATTATAGCAGAGGACCTAAATATCACACTATCACAAATAGACAGATCATCTAGACAAAAATATCAACAATGAAATACTAGAACTGAACCAAGATTTTGAACATGTGGACTTAATAGACGTGTACAGAGTGTTCTACCCCACACAATCAGAATATACATTCTTTTCAGCAGCACATGGGTCATTCTCCAAAATAGAGCACATACTAGCTCACAGAACAGGTTTAAATAAATGGAAAGGAATCAAACTCATCCCGTGTATATTATCAGATCATAGTGCAATTAAGCTGGAGATCAACAGCATCAGAAACCATAAGAACTCCACAAACACATGGAAATTGAACAACACTCTCCTGATCAATGGGTCACAGAGGAAATTAAAGAAGAAATTAGTCAGTTTTTACAAATAAATGATAATGCCAATGCAACATACAGGCATCTATGGGACACAATGAAAGCAGTTCTACGTGGAAAATTCATAGCACTGAATGCCCACATGAGGAAAACAGAGCAAGCTCAAATAAACAACCTAACGATGAATCTTAGACTCCTAGAAAAAGAAGAGCAAGAAAAACCAGAGCTTGTACAAGGGAGGAAATTATAAAGATCAGAGCAGAGCCGGGAATTTAGCCCAGCGGTTCAGTGGCCTGCCTCGCAAGTGCAAGGACCTGAGTTCGATCCCCGGTACCAAAAAAAAAAAAAACATCAGAGCAGAAATCAATGCAATGGAAACTAAGAGAAAGATACAAAAAAAAAAAAAAATCAGTGAATCAAAGAGTTGTCTTTTTGAAACAATAAATAAAATCAATAAACCCTTAGCCAACCTTGTCAAAAGGAAAGAAAAGGCTTAGATCCATGCAACTCGGAACAAAAAAGGTAAAGTCACAACAGATCCAGCAGAAATCCAGAGGATCACCAATACCTAATTCGAGAATTTGTACTCTAATAAAATGGAAAACACAGAAGAAATGGAAAGATTTGATACTTATGAATTACCAAAGTTGAACAAAGAAGATAAAAAAATTCTAAACACCCCAATTACAATCAGTGAAATTGAAAATGTAATTAAAAGCTTACAAAGCAAAGCCCAGGTCCTGCTGGCTTCACTGCTGAATTCTATAAGACATTTAGAGAAGAACTATTACCACTACTCCTTAAACTTTTCAATGAAATTGAAAGGGAAGCAATACTTCCAAATTCACTCCTGGAAGCAAGTGCTACTTTGAGTCCAAAACCAGGGAAAGACCCAACTGAAAAACAGAACTACAGTTCAATCTCCTTAATGAACACAGATGCAAAAATCCTCAATAAGATACAAATAGAAGACAGAGGATCATCAAGAAGATCATACATCGTGACCAAGTCAGATTTATCCCAGGGATGCAAGAATGGTTCAAAATACATGAATCAATAAATGTAATACACTATATTAACAGAGTCAAGGACCAAAACCATATGATCATCTCAACAGATGCAGAAAAAGCACTCGATAAAATTCAACACCCACTCATGATAAAAACTCTGCAGAAAATTGGAATAGATGGTCTTTATCTCAACTTGATAAGGGCCAGCTGTGGAAAACCAACAGCCAACATCAAATTAAATGGCCAAAAACTTTAAATCTTCACATTAAAATCAGGAACAAGACAAGAATATCCACTATTATCATTCCTGTTCAATATAGTTCTGGAGACATTAGCCACAGCAATTGGACAAGGAAAGAAATTAAAGCAACAAAGATAGGAAAGGAAGAAGTTAAAGTCTCATTATTTTCTGACGATATGGTACTCCACATAGAAGACTCAAAAAATTCCGCCAAAAGACTTCTAGACTTAAATGACACTTTCAGCAGAGTAGCTGGACACGAGGTCAACACTCAAAAATCAACAGCTTTTTTGTACATGAATAATAGACTCACTGAGAGAGAAATCAGGGAAACAATTCCTTTCACAATAGCATCCCCCAAAAAATGAAGTACCTGGGAATCAGTCTAACAAAAGAAGCAAAAGACCTCTACACTGAAAACCAGAACACTCTGAAAAAAAGAGATCGAAGAGGGTATAAGAAAATGAAAAGATATCCCCTGCTCCTGGGTAGGAAGAATCAACATAGTAAAAATGGCCATACTACCAAAATCACTATACAGATTCAATGCAATCCCGATTGAAATTCCTACAGTATATTTCACAGAACTAGAAAAAAACAATCCAAAAATTCATTTGGAACCTAGAATAGGAAAAGCAATTCTAGGCAACAGAGACATCGCAGGGGAGTATCACAATCCCCAATTTGAAACTATACTACAAAGCCACTGTCATAAAAAACAGCACAGTACTGGCAAAGAAAAAGACCTGAGGATCAGTGGAATAGACTGGAAGATTGAGAAACAACTCCAGATGTACTCAGCTGCCTAATCTTTGACAAAGGAGCCAACCATCCTCACTGGAGGAAAGATAGCCTCTTTAATAAATGGTGTTGGAAAAACTGGATTTCAACCTGCCAGAGATTAAAACTAGACCCTTATCTTTCACCATGCACTAAATTAAAATCCAAGTGGGCTAAAGATCTAAATATTAAAAAAGAAACACTAAACTTGCTGGAAGATAAGTTAGGCAGAACTCTCAAAGATATTGGCATAGGAAAAGACTTTATGAACAAATCCTCAGTAGCTCGGAAATTAGCAGAAAGAATCAACAACTGGGATCTCATCTTATTAAAAAGCTTCTGCACTGCAAAAGAAACCAACAGAGCTAAGAGACAACCTACAACATGGAAAAAAATTTTTACCAGCTCCTCCTCAGACAAAGGGCTATTATCTACAATACATAGAGAACTAAAAAAAATCAGCCCCCCAAATATAAAGACCCAATGCAAAAACCAGGCATCTGAAATGAACAGACACTTTTTAGACAAAGTAAAAGCAGCAAATAAACACACAAAAAAATGTTCCACATCACTGGTTATTCAAGAGATGCAGATAAAAACAACACTGAGATTCCACCTCACTGCAGGAAAGATGGCTGCTATCAAGAAAGCAACCAATAACAAATGCTGGCAGGGTTGTGGGGAGAAAGGAACCCTTCTCCATTGTTGGTGGGAGTGCAGACTGGTGCAACCACTGTGGAAATCAGTATGGAGATACCTCAAAGAGCTAGGACTAGAAGTTCCATTTGACCCAGCTATCCCTCTGCTGGGTATCTTTCCAAAAAATTAAAAGAATCATACGACAGTGATATATGTGCACCCATGTTTATAGATGCACAGTTTGTAATAGCTAAAACTTGGAAACAGCCCAACTGCTCATCAGTTGGAGACTGGATAAAGAAGATGTGGTTTTTCTTTGAAATGGAGTACTACTCAGCCATAAAGAATGAGAAAGTAGAGTCATTCTTAGGAAAATAGATGCATATGGAAGCCATACTCTTAAGTGAAATAAATAAGACACATATGTGCAAATACAGAAGTGTTTCTCTGGTGCGAAAAACTAAAAGTGCAAATAAGATCCAAATTATACAACTGATAATGTGAAATAGGAAGAAAAGGGCTAAAGGCGTAGGGGAAGTGGGAAGGGTAGGGGAAAGGAAATAAGGGAAAAGAAAAAATATAAGAAAAGGAAAGAATGGAAACAAAGTATTTATAAATAGGGGACGGTGGAGGGGGTGAAGGGAGGGCAGGGTGAGAACCAAGGTCTGTCATG